AAACAATTTAAAATGTTTTGCCTGCAGTAATAATAAAAATAGTTAATCAGTGAAAAGATCAGAGATTGGTAGAAATAATTATCAAATAGTTGAAAACATTGTTTTATGTCAAGACAATTCTCTATTTTAATATTAAATTAAAGTTACTGTTCGATGTGATTCATTGTGTTCTACAATCGTATTCTCTTTGATAATCACCAGCAGTTTTTTTTACGTATTGAATTTTCATCAATATCATTTTCTTGCATAAATATAAATTTTATGTATTCGTTTGTGAGAGTTTGAGTAATTTTTGATTCGAAAAAATGAAGTTCAGTCAAACTATGAAAACAACGGATTAGATACAATATAAAATGCAAGAACTGATATTTTCATTATGCTTTGATTTTTCGAAACGTACACCCTCAAGATTTAGACTGAATTGAAAAATTTGATAGTTTCATTCTATATGCAGACAAGTTAAACTATCTTGAGAGAGCGATTCCTTAACGACGTTCGGGTTTCTTGGTTATTTTATTGAAATCTAAGGTGTTTAGATTTTGAAACCTTTGCTATTTTTTCTTTGATTCTTTTCCTTACACATAACTAACTATGACTCGTAAATATGTTGTTCACTGGATTTTGATGTTAATTCAAATGTTTTTATACATTGTTAAACAAATAAACATAAATTATGATTATTTCAACTAAAACAATAATTACTGAGCTTTGTTTACTCAATATTTTCATCGCTATCAGCATATAAATTGAAATTCTCTAGGAATTGTAAAGGTGCGATCTTTTTCAAAATTTATGGAAAAAAATATTGGTTTAAATTAAATTGGGCTCATTGAAAATGCAAGGTAGAGAAATTTAAAATATCGCCGAACGTTGATCTTCCACCAAGAATCATTTGCAGCTATTATAGTTAAGATATTAAGCACAGATAAAGTTCGTAAAACTGCTTTAAATTTTTTTGTTATCAATTTCAATCTACATTGCTTATTAATTATTTTTAGTTGCAGTACTTGAACCTCGAAAACAACCATAAGAAACCCATTGGAAATAGAAAAAACTGCGCGAGAAGAATTAGCTATGGCAGAAGAAAATGACGAACCAATTGAAGGGAATCGTCTTTGTTGAGGCCATTGAAATTAATTTGATTTTTATAACAATTAATTGTTTTTCAAAGGATTTATTTTTTTACTCCTGTTAATAATGCTTTTTTTTTAGCTACAGTCGAACTTGTTTTTTCAGCGATAACTGGCTTTTTCGAATGTATGATGCAGCTTGTTTTCTTATTTTCAAAAATATATACAGATCAATGCATATATTTTGTCTTAGTAATATACACCTATAGATGAGATGTTTTATTAGATTATAAAAAATGATCTCAATCATAGAGAATACCCAGATCGATGATTCCGGACTTCGGAACCGACCGGGAACGGAAGGAAACGGCGTAATTTCCCGATACTTCCGGCGATTTCCAAGTACATTACAACCGAAAACGGATCGAAAAACTATCCGGAAGGTGGAAGCAGTATTCCGTTTGGATTTCACCATATTGTAACCGGAGTATTCTGCACTATTCCCGCCACCGTAACCATTGGGGAAAATTCCCGGAGCCGACCCGTGATCAAAAGGAATACAAACGGAACATGCGACGGAACTAACGAAATCCGACCGATTCCAGCTGGCAAAACGTCGAAAGTTACAATCTTCTTGAAATCGTGCGCAGAGAACGACGAACGAACGCATTTAACTCGTTTTTCGTAATACCCTCCTTTCAGTAGAGGGAATATTGAATAACTAAATAGAGTTCTTTTATGTGATTGAGTAATCATGAATTAGAACAATTTCAGGAGTAGTCTTTTCATGTTCCTATCTATTATTTCTAGTCCCAGCTCGTGATGGTACGGCGGACTCCTGTCAACTTTCAGTGCTTTTCGGTAGGAACCAACAGCAAAACGTCGGGAAAAACTCCGAAAGTTTTCCGGTCGGAATACTGCTTACAGATTTCAGCGACTTTCCGTGTTTTCCTGTGGGGTACGGTGATTTTCCGCATCTTCCCAACCAGTTCCTACAGTATACGGTGGCCAGAACGATCGACCTGGGATGTTGTAAAAACTCTGCTGGCATGGCACGAACATTCCTTTGTTAATACCTAATTTTCAGTGTAATACAGCAATTTGTTTACTGAACGATATCACAGAAACCTACCTGGCTTATCAATTTTTTTATCGGTCTCTATTAATGATAACCTCAGAAAAGGATTCATTTTCTAGTTGATAATTCAAGAACTTTTCTACTACCTACTCAGAATTAGTTCAGCTATCTTCAACTTGATTAGCGTCAGAATATTGAAAATAAAATAAACTTGCATACAGTAAGTGATATTGGAGAATAGGAATTCGTTTCTGGTATGTTGGCAATGATCTGTACACCGTATTTATTGTTGACGAAATTATTTGATTTTTTTCCAACTGACTTATGTTTACTTCAATCAATGAACCATGTCATTTTCAATCCTCTTCCTATTTTTTCGCTTGTTTTCCAGTTTTATGATGTTATCGCGATCAAAACAAAAATATGCACTAATATTTGCGTAAACAAATAAATTACATGTGAATTTCGATGCTGTTTTTTATGGGTAAAAGAAACGGTGATTATCTGAGCTTATCAGGGTTGTCGATTGTTTCTAGGAGTGGGAGGGGCTAAAAATTTCGCAGAATCACAGGTTTTTGATTAAGTTCTAACTCATTTAGAAAAGGCCTTTCAGAGCAATAAAAATATAGCATTCTTCAAAAAAATGAAGACGATTTCAAATATATTTAAAATATCAAAAAACAAACAAAATCATTTTACAATTATTTCAATTCCCAAACAAAAAATATTTTACAATTTTTTAACTTTCAAAAATGTTATTCACAGTAATGCATAGTTAAACGAATTTATCTTTTATCTTCGCAGTACATCATTAATATATATCGTATTTATACTATAACAATCAGAAGAAAAAGACGCTGTCTCTTTGATTTTTATCTCTTTAAGTTGTAATCCAATTACGATGAAAATAACACAAGACCAAAGAGCACAACAATTATCGTACAATAAGAAATATTAAAGACGAAGCTTCCTCTTTCGTAGTTATACTATACATGCATGGTGCATTTATTGTTAACAATGAAGATAATAAATGTAATCGTTGGCATATAGATTGTTTTAAATAAAATCTGCTGCGTTATTTTTAAACTTCATATTTCGACAAAAAAGGGAAAAAAAGAAACTAAAAAGCATTGAAATGCAGTTAAATTCATTGAAATATTTTGATACTATAGTAATATGAGGTTCTTGTAAAAGAGAAGTATCATAGTAAATTTTCTGCAAGAATTTTGTAGGCATTGTTTTGATACTCTCCTCACGTTTTCTGGTAAAAAAGGAATAATTTAACTAAACCCTTTATTTTGTTGCATGTTAACCAATTCGTATACTTGCATTTCAAAAAAAGTTCTTGTAATATTTGTATTCTTTGAGTTCATTTTTTTAAAAGTTGTGGGAGTACAAAAAAATTCACAGAAAAACGCAGAAATATAATGGAAAAAATTTCGTAGAAACGGTTCGAATTCAGGGGGGCTNCCCCCCCCCGCCTGCTCGGCAAGCTTGGAGCTTATATAGGAGAGGTACTTGCAATGCGTTCATAAATAAACGAATCATCAAACAATTCCAGTTATGATGTACTTTAATGAAACTTGCATAGTTTGCCTATCTGATTCTTTGAACAGCAACATCTCACGAATAGGAAACATAATTTTCTCAATAGTGTAATATTATCAGAAGAGGCCCCCTCCTATTGAACGCCGTTGTTATATTTCCAAAGGATGGAACTCATTCATTTAGCATAAATAGTTTAAATGAGTTGAATTCAACATTCTGCTAATCGATATTTTGTTGCACGTATTCGAACTAGATGGTATTCGAGTTTCACTCGGCTATGAAAGGCGATGCTTTCAAAAGAAACCAATCATCAACTTTCTAATATCTGTTTCCTTTGTGTAAACGAATTATAAAAGAAACAGTTTTAAATACTTTAAATTTAGCCATAGCAGAATATATCACTTCGAAAACTCTGTCCATACGTACACCCTTGCCATATTTTGAGCGCAGTCATTTTAAACATCACAGCCTACCAAATGTTTCTTCTATTATCTATTGCCTTTTCTTTTTCTTCAATAATATATTTGTATATAGAAAACATGTTTTTGTCACTCAATGTCTATTTACTTTGTACTTGAATAAAATAATAGTGCTTCAGGAATGATTCTCTTCTTTTTCGGAAAAAGCAAATACATTTTTTCATATCAACATACGCCCACATACAAATATATGTGAATTTCTCTACCAACAAAAAAAAGGATAAGCTGCTCTCAATTCATTAGTATTTGTATTCCATTTGAAATAAAATACTATTGAATAGACATGTCAGAAAAAATACCAATAGCAAATTCTATAAATTACGTTCATGTAGAAGCATTAAATGAACGAACATACAAAAGTAAGTTTAATTATTCGTTTTTCCTATGGTGAGATATAAAATAAAATATTTTCCTAGATCTTGTACCATATACATCGGATATGAAAACAACAAAAACATTCTTGTTCGCTGCCATTGATATGATACTTCGTTATATAACTGAATTGAATGAACACGATTCACCTGTACGTAATGAATATATGGACAAGAAAATATTTCTTATTATAAAAATATTCATATAGGTTATTAAAAATGGACTTCGTACACCGGCTGAATATCGAAAAATGTTTACATTTGAAATAGATGATCAAGGTTCTGATTTATATGATATACTAGCTAATTGTGAGCGTATTCTTGAAACAACTGTTCGATCAGGTAGTCGAATTGTCTTTTTTTCTGAAGTAGATTTGATTTTTTGCTTTACTCTCCTAAAGGTCATCCTCGTTTTATAAATCAATTGAGTCAAGGTGTTGATACAATATCACTTGTAGGTGAAATGATAACTTCAACTATTAATGCAAATATGTTTACATACGAAGTAGCGCCAGTTTTTAATCTCATGGAAGAAAGTGTTCTTACGCATATGCGTGACTGTTGTGGTTGGCCAAAGCAAGGGCCACTATCGAAAAATGGTGATGGTGTTTTAGCACCAGGAGGTGCTCTTTCGAATTTATATGCAGTATTAGCAGCTAAACATTATGCATTTCCTCAAATAAAAAAAGGTGGTATTCAAAATGGATTACGTCCGGCTATGGTTATTTCGAAACATGTACGCATTTTCAAATTTTGTTCGAGTGCACGAGTGCCGAATAGATAGCTAAATAATTGCTCTAGAAATTTACCCAGGGAAGAATATGTACTTTGTTTTTAAGTGTCATTATTCGATGAAACGCGCTGCTGCAATACTGAGTATTGGAACCGATCAAGTTTATGAAGTTGACCCCGATGAATCGTAAGTTAAAATGAATGAATGATATTCTTATTGTTGAATAAAAAAAAATTTGTTTATTTAGTGGTCGAGTAACAGCTGAAAATATAGAAGAAAAAATTCTATATTGTCAATCATTGGGACTCTCGGTATTTTTTGTTGCAATTACAGCCGGCACAACAGTTTTCGGTGCATTTGATCCTATTGAAGAAGTTTCAGTTATCTGTCGTAAATATAATGTCTGGCTTCATGTTGATGTAAGTTTTTATTTTCTGTTTTACACCGCGATAGTATACATGTCTGTTCAGGGAGCATGGGGTGGTTCGACATTGTTATCACCAAAAACAAAACATCTTCTTCAAGGTATTGACAAGTAAGAAATTAGATTAAGAACGAAATTTTGTATTGTTAATATTTATTAGAGCCGATTCATTTACATGGAATCCTCATAAATTAATGTCAATTCATCTTCAATGTTCAGCTATTTTAATAAGACATCTGGTATGTATCATCAACAACAAAATGCATTGAAATTCGAGATAGACTATTGCTTTTTTATTGACATGCCGAAGTATTAAATTCCATTTGAACTATCAACAATAAGAGAAATAGAGTAGAATAGATTGATTATATATATGGGATCAAAAGTAAAGCTTTTGCTGAGACTCAACTCAAGGTTAAAAGAAAAATAATGATTCGATCTGTTCAATCAAAAACAAATCTTTATCTATATAGAATGTTCTCCAGGAAGCCAATCAAATGTGTGCTGGTTATCTATTTCAACCCGACAAACATTATGAAACGTCACTTGATACAGGCGATAAAACAATTCAATGTGGTCGACATGTTGATATATTAAAATTATGGCTTGGATGGAAAGCTCGTGGCCATTTAGGTTATGCTGAACATGTTGAAGGCTTAGTTGAGAATGCAAAATTCTTCTATGAAACATTATTGAAACGTGAACCATATTTTCGAATGGTTATGAAAGTAGAGAATCATTGATTTTTATAATTTAAAAAAAACAACAGTTCAATCTTTTCTTTATAGCCACCATTTATTAATGTTTGTTTTTGGTATGTTCCATCCAGTTTACAACATTATGATCAAACAACACTTGAGTATAAACAACGATTGGATAAAGTGAGTTATGAAAACGCATTGCATTTATATCAATTGTCTGCCTGTTTTTTTTACAGGTAGCACCAAAAATAAAAGAACGTATGATGAACAGTGGTACAATGATGATTGGTTATCAACGTCTTGATGATTACCCGAATTTTTTTCGTGCAATCATCTCGAATCCAGCAACAACCAAAGGCGATATTGTTGCTATGATTGATACAATACATGAACTTGGACATGATCTTTAAATTCTTTTTTTTTCTTTGTCATTTCTAATAATCAAATATTCTTATAGAACCCAATAAATATTCCTTTTGAAATTGAATGCTAAATAAATGGTCTATGAAGTATATAGCTTTCATATCGATAAATCATCGAGATTCGCCCTACATGTCCAAACAGACACACAATTACAAGAGAAACCGTCTTAAAAATTAACTCTCATAATGTTCTCCTTTGGCTAATTCTTCCATACTTTCCACGTGCCAACGTTGAATGTAGATTAATTAGTATGTAAAAACAGATATGTGCACCGCAGCGATATCGCCACAGGAAATGCTTCTAGTGCCACCCATGATTACAACACTATGAGACTCGATGAGTTTCATAGATTAGTAGTAACAACTTCGGTCTTCTCGGCTACAATGGGTACTACTGTTTATTTTTATTTTTTATTATTTTAATACAATTATATTCAACCTTGAATTTTGTTTTTTTGAAAGAAATGTTATTACGCTACTTGAATAAGTTAACCTTCAATTTGTCAAAGCAAACTCTGTGTACGGAATATTTCGTTTTTAATTTATGGAAGAAACAATAGATATGTCAATATAAAGAACAACACACCATTACTTGAACACAATTAGAAAATACATATACAAATTTCATAAGACATGAATTGTGTGTTTATAGTTTTATACCATACTTCCAAGTTCACCTAGAACGAAAAAAAAAGCAAACGTCTACTCGAAAAAAACAACTTAGCCTAATTAATATACATACGACTAAGAGCTCGAAATCCAAGTGATCTCATCATACGAGCTAAAATTTTTATATCAGCTCGACTATCATCTGAAGCCCAAAGTTCTAAAGATCTTAAACATCGCTCTTGGTTTAATAGATATTGTTCTTCAATTCGTTGAATATCTTCATTGGATAACATTAATTCTCGTGCTATTTGTTTCCATGTACGAATACATTCATCATGTTGGCATATACGAGTAAATGCCACATTGAAAATTCTTAATTGATCTAAAACATTTTCAAAAAAAATGAATTTAATTATTCTTTCATTTTCATTTACCATCTCTCGATGATGTTCGTTGTTCTTGACGTTTAGCTTCTTTCATTAATTCTAATTCTTGTGCTATATCCCATCGTTTTATATTTGTTAATGCATTTATTAATAATGCATCTTTATCAATTGAATGTGGCGCACGTTTAAACCATGTAAGTAACATATAGTAGCCGGCATCCTCGGCATACTCATGTCCAAGAGCTTCAATACGTATCTTTGTCATACCTAAACGACGTGCTAATCGGCACCATTCATCACCAACTAAACTTGCTGATAGTTCATGAAAAATGAGGGGTGTTAAAATTCCTAATAGAAAACAATTGGTGAAAAAATATTGAATGGCAGTTTTCTTTATTTACCTTCAGGAGTAAATTTTGTTAATGTTTTTGGAGTAGGTGCTCGAACTTCTCCACTTGGCTTTGGTAAACGAATAACTAATTCTGCTTGGCAAACATCTGCTTCACGCCACTGTTGTTTTGTCTGAAGACAAAATAAAAAAAAGTTTGAAAACTTCATTTTGATTACCTGCACTCGTTTGATTTAATCTATTGAAAAATATTTCTCTTAATAAATCCTTCAAAAATATGTTTAGGAAACATTTACGAGATTTTATTGATTTACAGTCACTAGAAAGAACGATAAGATTTGTATCTCTATACTTCACTGCTTCCTTTGGATAATGTTCTGTTTGCTATTAATCATGTAGAGAAACTTACTGCATCGATTTGATGTTTTTTTTGGCCATGCTCTTTTGCTATCGTTCTTGAAAATATTTGTACGAAACCGTAAAAAAATGGTGATAAATGTTGAGAATATTTATCTATTTCAGAAACATTAGTTTGAAAATAAAATGGAAAATATGTATTGAATGCAAATCGATATGATTGTTTATTATATTCAATAGGTACGACGTTACCACGAAAACGTAATTCTAATAGTTGTCCTTCTTGTAAAATTAATTCTTTAATTTGTTCATCGTGATCGATAAATTGGTCTGCTTGAAGATCTCTATCGATATTATTAATACGTCGACTTGAGCAACAAACAAAACATATTTCATTTAGATTCGATAGACGACGACGAAGAATTAATGAAACAATACGTTGATTCAATGATTCTTCAAGTAAATTTATTGTCGTTTGCAATTGTTTTGTCGATGTAAATTGTCGATCATAACGAGCAATAATCATTCGACTATGTAAATTTTGCATATTCGTTGTTACAGTATCATGAATTTTCGAATCGGATAGGTGAATATCACTATCGATATGCCACATATTTTCATTATGACTGGAAAATAAAAGAACGAGTCTCTCATTATTCGAATCTGTCAAAGAAGAAAAAATAAAAGCATCCTTCGAAAATTAGTGAAAAAACATAGTTTATGCTTGACTAACCGTCGCCGAGCATAGATTTAAAAATAGATTGTTGTTGTTGTAAAATAAGTTCTTGCTGTGACGCTGGAGTTGTTGATGTTTCTTGAAATGCTTGCGCTTGAACAACAGTGGTTGGTTTTATTGGTGCCACTTTTTGTTTCGTTTGTACAAGAATAGGTAAGGTGAATTTAATTGGTTTCAGTAAACTAACAGTATCGAATTGAAGTTCAATAATAGGTCCAACAGCTATTAAACCTTGACAATCACTTGAAAAATTCTTTGTAAACTGTGTAAATGCTGGTAGATCAACAGGCAAAACACGAAGATTTATATTTAAATTTGTCGAGCAAACATTCGCCGGCCATTCCATTGTTAAACGAGGATCAACATCGGATGAAAATCGACCCGATGAATGTTTATCAATGAGAATTTTGTCTTGTTTTAAACGTGATACAACTGCACATGCAGTTGATTGTTCTAATTTACATTCAACAAAATGTTTTTCCTATTTTATAATGAAACAAAAGATCAAATTTTTATTTTCTTTTTGCATTCTACAAACTTTGTATGAATCAAATGTTGACTCTTTTGAATTAATTGATTTCCATATGCCGCTGGATTGACGAATTTTAATCACATTTTCTCGATAATTCGATCGTTTAGAAATGTAGGGTATGGCAAGAAGAAGTGTTTGTTGATATTTCTAAAATCAAAAGAAAATAGAAGCGCTTATGCGGAACATTTAACCATAAAAATCAATCGAAATATTACCGTTGTATCAAAATTTACTACCATCGGTGTACTAATAAGTTCTTCTTGATCGTCGAGTAAATATTCTGTTGCAGATACTTCAAGATATTTGACTTCAATAGGTATCGAAAGAGCATTTGGTGCTAATCGAAAAATACATTGAGGACATTGATCAGTATTCATAAAGCTAGATTCGTTTTTTCAAAAAATCACATCGATTATCAATTGAATGTATATCTACGAAAAGAAAATCTACTCGCGTTCTTTCCAATCAGCATATTCATCCTCTTCTTCTTTTTGTTCTTGTGGCATTTTTAACAAGCCGGAAAGACGTTCTTTTTGTTGTTGCTGAATTTGAAGTTCCTTAAATGAGGCAAAGATTAAGTTGCAAATTCTATTTTTTCCCCCGTAGCACTTACATTTAATCGTTGTCGTTCTTCTTCTAATCTTACACGTCGTTCAAGTTCCGCAGCTCGTTCTCTTTCTAATTGCTGCTGTTTTAGTTTCATTTCATGTGCTTGCCGAGTTAACTCCTCATTAGCATGTTTCTCTATTTCAGCAGCTTTCACTAATGCCAATTTTGCTTCTTGCTGTAATTGTACAGCTGCTGCACGACATTCAAGTGCTTCAGCATTTAGTGTCATGAGTTTAGCACGTATTTCAATGTCATTATCTTAAAATTTATAATATTTGAAATGAATGTTTATGGTGAAAAATAAAAGTCATCCTTTACCTAATTCTTCTTGTTTTTGTTGTTGTTCAAGTTGTACTTTTTGTTTTATATTTGCTCGTAAAATTTCATTAATATCAGCTAATGATATTTCAAATTGTTGTAATTGTTGTAGGATTGTTCGTTGAAATGTTTCAGTTTCACGTAATGAATCTTTTGATACAGTTATTATTTTACCTAGTTTATTAATATCATAATCGCGTGATATTTTTAATTGACGAAGATCCACGACTTCTCGTCGTAGATCACCTAATGGTTTATCGAGCATAGTTAGTGTCATTGGTCTGTGTATAAATCAATTCACACAAATATTTTTTGTAAGATATTATAGTTGGTAAAAATCTGAAATAAAATGAACAGTAAGAATATTGAGTTCTTTTCTTCTTCTTCTTCTTCTTCTTCTTCGTGTTATTGTACGTGAAGTATGTCAATATTGAATATAATGAAATAGAGAAGTTCTTAAAAAAAAACGCAATAATGCCAATGGCGTCTATCTATTACAAATGAGAGTAAAAAACGATTGTTGTTTTGAATAAAGCGAGAGAGAAAAAAATCTCAAAAGAAACGAGGCAAAGAGGAAGGGGTAAGAACTGATTTCTACTTTCTTGTTCACACAATAACTAAAAACAAACTTCGGTAGAAATTTACACTATCTACCTTCAATGATAATGATAATGTTCAAGGTCAAGATGAAATCATTTGTAGCCGGTGAAAAATGTTTTTTGTTCTGTCTGATAGCAAGATCTATTTCATATCACTGTAAGTGGATGCGCTATATATCTCACCTTGACTGGCAGACATCGTAGAAACAGTAAATAAAAACCGTTGTCAAGATGATCTTGTAAAGAAAAAGAAAAACTGAAAGAGAAGAAAAAGAAAGTGACTAAAGAGCAAACAATTGTTTCAATTGTTTTTCTATAATATATCACTAACAATGAGAACCAAGAACCAACGGCATCATTCGGTTTTTATGATTCATATGATCCTCTTCTTTACAAGAGACTCAAGTCAACAATGAATCAATTTATCAATGAATTTCTTTCTTACCCATTATCAGCAACACTTAGTTGTTTCTTGGATTTTTCTCTTGACATCACTTTGAAGTTTTCTCTGAAAAGGAAAAAGAATCGAGTTAACGGATGAGGGTACTCACACTGAGGACATCGTGCACTTTTATGTAATCGTATATGTATACGTATATACGTACGTACATTTATCAAGGAGAAGAGAACTTCGGATGAAATGAAAGATTCTTTAGATCAACAATCGAATATGTTTTACATGCATTTCTTTTTAAAACAATATAAGAATAACAACGAAGATCATGTGGCAAATAACGACAGAGAAAAAAACCAAAGTTGACTCTTGTGTATTTGCTAAAGAACAGATATTTTATCAGTGTATGTTAGAATAAGCAATAGAAACAATCGAACGTGAGAAAAGACAATGATAGATTGTTGCGTCACATTTGAAATTCTGATTCTGACTGACCAACAAATAATTTTTGATTAAATCGACAGCAGCTTGTCGTTTTTCTTATTTTCTTACTAAATGTCTATGTGAATGACTTTTTTAATATTGTCTACCATCAAATAAAATACTGTTGTTGTCAAAAATTTAGTTCATTTTAAATGAATATATTCAGTAAAACGAAGACACGTTATCAAAAGTAATAAAAGACATTTTAGGCCAATTGCATTTTTTAGAATAGTATGTGTATGAATCAACAAACCGATGCAACAAAGAACTTCAAAAAAGATGCTGCCATAAATAGTTTGCATTCAAAAATTAAATGGCTACCATTAAATATGCATGTCGATATGCGCGTCAAAATAGTAACAGATCAAAAATGAATTATTTTACATATTTATTAAATATGAAGGCCGTATATTTTTATTGATGAAATCATACTGATCGTAATAATCTCATTTAATAGCGAAAGAAAAGGCTTCAGACAAATTGTTTAATTGCTTGCCTATTGCTGTAAGAAAAAAATTGGCATATTTTTAGCGACTCAGTTCATTGAGTAAAATCAATTTCGAGATTTTTTATTCAGTTAGCAGATTCATATTGAATTAAAAAGTAAATTTTACTAAATTGATGACTTCGTGGAAAATAGTGAAAGAAAATGATGAGAAATTTAAACTAGAAGTACATTGAGGAGAATCATGTTTTGCATGCCAGCATCACTCAATCCATCGAATGGAAGATAGTTTACATTAATTAAATATATACATATATATATATATATATATATAGATATGATTGACAAGCGCCCTTTTTTCTCTAATTCCAAGCGAAAGAAAAAATCTGGCACTCCTACTTGAGTTATCTTCAGACCATAGGAACATCTGTATCATTTAAAATATGAGGGTGTCTCTAGGAAAATAAAATGTATTTGTATATTTTACTAGTTTTATCTCCGCGGAACCATATCACATGTCAAGATAATGTTCGATAACTATTCGGGCAGATTGCATCAAAGATACTTTAGAAAAAAAAAAATTAACAGTACAGTATGCAAAAATATATATATTAATCAGTCGTTCTAAAACTAATTACGAAGAAGAATTTTTGTATCAGCGGTCAACACAAGCAAATCGATTTGCCATAGACAGCAACAAACCAGCGAGAAAGATTTCTACAAAAACAGAGGAAGTAGCAAAACATATGGCTTATAAGTTCGCATTTGTAAAGTTATTCTTGACGCCATGCCGTCAGCGAACTGCTCCTACAAGCAATTATCCATGTGAAATGGAACACAGTTGATCACAGTAATCATCATTCTCCGCTGTTTTCGTTTTTCTTTTCTTTCTTCTGTAGCAATTGTGTGGTTTAAAGAAAAAATTGAAATAGCTGGATGAGCGAATCTAATTTAATTTTCTCGTTTATTATTATTATTATTATTATTATTTCATTCTACTATCTCGATATCCAATAAAGGGAACTGAGTATGATTGACGTCATATTGTGTCTGTTAATCGATTAATTAAACACAGAATTCACATTTGGCATAGTTTTGATGATGATATGAAATTCGTTTTGATTGTTGTTCGTTTTTTTTTTATTACTTTTTATAGACGATTTTATTGTTTTTGGCAGTCCAACTGGTTTCACTATTGTAAATCGAATCACGCTCACATGTTATCTGATAAATACTGAATTTATTAGTAAATTTTATTGGTTTGTGTTGTGTGATAGTTGTGCGTTTTTATAAATCTGATAAACAATAAATTTACTTTTGCTGATCAACATGATTTTTTTTATAAATAAATGGTATAATTTCAAAATGAATTCCTATTTTGTTGGTATCGTATCAAGAAAATGAATTGATTCATGTACTTCCTGTCTAAATCATATTACTGCTCTTCTATTGTGTTCAACTGTTCTGTAAATGATCAAAACATCATCTGTGCTTTCCTCTTTTCCCGATGTTACTATTCTCATTCGACAGTTATTCTTGCTGTGTAACTTAAGTTGTAGACGTACCGTTGACGAACCATCAATAGATATCAGTTCGCATTTCTAAGTAGCAGCACTTAATTCCCGCATAGCTTGTTTTTTCAATAAGTTTTTCTTGTACTTTATCGGCATAATTAGTTTTATTCATGATGAATATTATTCCGCCCTTGTCAGTCTGTGTTATGACAGCCTCATTTATCAGTTTTAGTTGGGTAAAGCACTTAATTTCTTCCGATAATAGATTATCTTGTTTAGCTTCTTTTGTTTTTTTTTATATGCTGCTTGTACAAATAGTGCAACATCTTATGTTGATACCTGTTTCATTATAATAATTTCGTACTTCGTCAAAACAACTGAATTCATGTCTGCACTAGAATTTTGTTTTTCGGACGTTGCCGATGTGCGGAAAATCTTGTGTTGTTTTGAATCCAATCTTTCATTGGCCGGTGTAATTTTCATTGTTCTAAGTTTCAATAAACAGTACTTGGGTTTGTCGTATTGATTTCTTTTCCATTGAATTCTATATGAGTATCTCGTTTCGAATTATTTTCATATGTTTGGTTTTCTCTAAGAAACCCGCATCTTTATCTATTTCCACTTCATCTTGATAGTATTTCAAGTCTTCGTGTCATAATATATGATGTCTCACCGTACCGACAACCATATTGATTATGAGAATGAAAGGTCATTCTGATAAGTTTTTGATAAATTCTTCCGCTCTTGTATTTATAAAAATCTGTTCTTGACCTTTTGTTTTCTATTGGCAGCCTGCTTACAAACTCTGTTTATACTAGATCAGATGTATTTTTGTTAATTAAATCTCAAGCAAACGACAAAAGGAAGAGCTGCGAGACAGATGATCATAGTGATAGTTACCCTGCTAACCGATGTGTCTTAATTTGCTTTTGTAGTAACTATAGGGTGGATCACGATGGGAACTACGCTTAACGTTTTTCTCTGGCCAGAGACAACAAAAGAAAAATAACGGAACAGGATCATACTGATCATGTCTCCTGGCTCCTTCCTATTTGGCAATAGTTATAGTTGACAAAATACATCTGATTTAGCATTAAAGGAAACTGTAAAGATGCTGTCAATTGAAGGCGAAACGTCAAGCATAAGTTTATGAATAGAATCAAAGAATAATTTATCATAAATTTATCATGATGACCTTTCTTGCTCCTCGCCAACATATATTATATATATATATCATAACGCAATCGAACCAGTATGTTCTGTGTGATGACTATGAAAAACTCCAGCATTCTTAACTACTGTTGATAATAAATAACTTGAGCAGAAGCTTTCCTAGACGTTGGTTGCTAATCTTGCCAGAACAGGTTTTTATATAAATTATTCGTATTACGATTAGTTCTATAATTATGAACACGCTGGGAAAAATCAAAATGAATTTAAAGTATAAAAATATTTCTCCAATATTTTACATTATTTCAGGCGAACCTTAACAAAATAAAATATCTAATTGTTCATGTCAATAAGAATATTGAGGAGCGGATTTTCATATGAATAATTTTTTATAAAAATTGGATTTTCAAGTATAAGAAGAATTTATTTGAGTATTGATAACAAAAACAGGATAACTATTTATGAATCGTTAGAGATATTTAGCGACCTTAGTGCTAAATCAAGGTGTGGACGTTTTACTCATTAATCACATTAGCAGGGTTATTAAGAAATATCATCATGCCGGACGTTTTTGTTTGTCTTCTTTTTGTTTGTTGTCTATCTCGCTTGTTGTCCTACGTGATATGATCTAAGAAAATTTCATGACCTACTCGCCAGTCAACTGTTGTTTGAATCAGCATGCGCAACAACTCATCATCATTGTGTCATACACGCACAAACATATTGATCATTAAGGCGACAATGATGACTGTGACAGTGAAAAAAAGAAGAAGACGAAGAAGAAGAAAGAGCCTCATGTGACGGAAAAACTTCTAAGCACAGGCTTCCCAATGTTTGCGTCTGTGCTGACGGAACGAGAAACAGTAATCTCAGTATTTGCATGATTAAAGAGAACGCTAGAAATGAAGGCCATAGTAAAGACGACTAACCCTATTAGAAGGAAATTAGCAAGAGGGAAACAAATAGAGCACGAGAAAAGAGCATAACAGACGGTCAGTTCATTACGTAAATAAATCTTAGATCATATACAATATACAAAAGAACACCCGCATAAGTTCATTGGTTTGTTTACATTGAAAATAAAAAAATTAGTTCAATACATAAGCAAAAGTAAAAACAACAGTCAACTATTTGTACCAAACTTTGGATCCCATTTTTTAAGAAGCGCATTTTGATCGATAACTTTAAGAATATCTGGTGCATCGAATAAAATTTTCAGTGTTCCAAGCGCAGTAACAGCAAAGAAAATGAATAATTGTAATCGATCGATAACTGATGCAATATATTTCCAATCGTCTCGAATCTAAAAGCATAGAAAGTTTTCAATTGTATATGAATGGCATTTTCGTAAACAACAAAGCCAAATCTTACCCCTTCATAATGACAAGCAGATCGCATATGATTGGCAATGAAACTAAGATCTTCTGCTGCTTCATAGGCTTCTTTAGTTAATAAAAGATCAAGTTCGTCTGCTGTTAAATTATTATCATCATCATCAGTTGTTGATGATTGATTCATATTCTGTTGGTGATGCCGTTTTGATGAATGTCGACTATGATGATGATGATGATGATGATGATGATGTTTATTTTTTGTTATATTACGTTGTTTTAATTCTAACTGTTCATCTTGATGATTGTTTACATCAACATTCTTATCGTCATTATGATTCATCATGATTGGTGATGCTATTGATAGTGCACGTGATGCCTGAATATAATTTAACATCGTCTGTTTTTCCCTATCGGCTTCCGATGTTCCTAAACTATCGTCTTTCTCATATTTTTTTGGTCGTTCCATACGAAGTATTCGAGGCAAAATGTCAATACATAAACGTCTTATCCAATTCGGCATTTTATGTGTACGCGGCGTACGATAGTTGTAATTAATAATAACAACAGTAAAAAATATGGTTATTATATTCATTATAAATGTAAATAGAAGATATTTAGCTATTAATGGTATAACAATAGATGTTGGTGGTAAAATTTTTGATATAAGTAAAAGAAACACAACAAGTGCGAGCAAAATTGAAATGGATAATGTCATTTTTTCACCAGCATCTGTAGGCAAATAAAAGACGAACACCGATAAAAATGAAATAAGCACCTAGAAAAACAAAGCCAGAAGAAACGCATAGGATTGCTAATAAAAAAAATCTAGTCATCAATCATTTACCGTCGGTATAATCAAGTTAACTGTATAAAAAAGCGTTTTACGTTTTATAATAAGTGTACAAACAAATTCCACACGGTCACGTCCGTCGGCTTTTTCAAACCGCGGATTTACCGTCAATTCAATTGTATCATTGCCATCGTTTGGAGGTGGTACATAGGATGATTGCTGAATTGTCATAGGACCATCGAGAAGATCCCATGAACCACTAACGACATAATCTTTTATAGTCACATGTCGAATTTTTTCTTCATAATAAGTAAAATTCAATTGCCGTTGATCGTATGTCCACGAACCAAAACGCAATTCACAAACTTGTTTATCTGAGGAGAAAAAAAAGATTTTACTCTCTGAATTCAATAATAAAAAAAAGTTAGTTTTCATTTACCAAATGGAAAAAATTTTACATCGATGTAACAACTTGATTTATATATAGCTGGTGGAACCCAATTCACATAGCCATCATGATAAATAACAACGTTAGATTTAAATGATACTTCATATTTACCATCAGCATTATTAAATAGAACAATCTAAAATAGTTCGTTTCTTTTTCTTTTCATGCTGTCAGTAGCTCTTACATCAGGTGTCCAAACTTGACTTGGTGGCGCTCGTATTGATTGAATGCCACCATATTTCTCTCGTTTCCATTGCATTTGGTAATCATGCCATCCCTTTAAAAGGACACAAATGTCACATACTTTCTTTCATGCATTCCGTTTTGTAATACATACGACTTGTAGCCAAACATTTGTTTTAAGTACTTGTTCTTTTTCAACTACGCTTATTAATTGTAATAGAGCAATACTAAACGATACTGTTATGGTATCTTCAACATTTCGTACTGGACGTATTAATGGATTATAATTTTGAAATAATTCTTTAAATAATTGTTCTTCATGATATGAACTATTAACTAGAAATTTTTTTTTTGAAGATACAAAAAAGAAATATATAAAATAGAAGATCTCGGGAAAAAAAAATGAATATCTTACTGTTTTTGATCAAGACTAGTACGTTGAATAGTAGCCAGTAGAAGAACGACATCGACACCAGATGAAAAATAGATACAGTCGATATTTATCACTAGCAAGAATAAAGACTTGTGTGTGTAAAAATCGAATGTATGGAGGTTTTTCTTTTTGTTTTCTTCTATTCTTTTTCTTTCTTTTTATTTCTAGCAACAAAAAATCTATTCTTGATGTACAAAGTTCTAATCGAATGTAAATGAATCGTAGACTTGCAAAAGCAATATAGAAACGACGACTGAATACGAGAAGCCTTGTTTAGTTAGAGACCAAAGAAGAGAGAGAGAGAGAGAGAGAGAGAGAAACAAAGAAAATCAAGAATAGGAAAGCGAAGGGACTCTAGTCGAAATAATGTCATCAGTGTTATTCTTATTCTATTTCTCTTCCTGCTGTTGCCATTTCTCAATAGACACAGAAGAGAGGGGAAGCAAAGAGAGAGAGAGAGAGGGAGAGGGAGAGGGAAGAGAAGTAAAGATGCTATAGACACAGAAAGATCTGAAAGTTTTATCCCGAGGCCATTTGATCGCACTAGTTGATTTTTTTGTTGAATACAAGCTACACATAGTTGTATACATACTAATCGATTAGGAAAAGAACACAGAAAAGAAATCTGTGTTCAAGGTAAGCATTCTTTTTTTCATCTTTGACAAATTATATTAACATCTGTTTCTTTCTACTTGATGAATCTCTCAAGAGAGATGTAACTAGAACTAAGATGACTTTATTCAAACTGTTAAGAGATTTTGAAGAGAGAACGAACAGGTTAACTTCAATGATTGGAGTAAAAGATAAATAAGAGCAAATGCTTTTGTTCGATCTATTACGATCATCATCTACGTACTCATGCTTCCGTTTACTAACGAAACAAAATCCATTCGTCTCGTTTCTAATACTGTTATGGAATAAGTATGTATGAATTTAGTTTTATGAATGCATGATTCACTTCAATAACTGACATACAATTGATCAGTGAGAAAATATAAAGGGGAAAAAGAAGAAGAAGAAGAAGAAGAAGAAAACGAGCCGAGAGAATTCTATTGCATTTTACTCGGCACAGTTAGAGCCTAATTGGCTGTTAAATATATATCAATATACTTCGAGCAATATATCACGCATCGTTTTCTCATCAGATCTCTAGAAAGCAAAAGGCAAGTGAGTGGAGCAAATTTGTGCACATACGTAAATGATCTTAATGGGCAAAAACAAACATTAGTTGAAACAGCAAGAACCTAATTGGCTTCTTTAATAGAAACAATCAGCAAGCATAGTTTCCTTTTAACTTAAATAGAATAATGTTATTGTATCTCAGTTACAGTTGTTCAGATTTTCTTATGTATACTAACCTATACTCTAATTTGTACATGCATGCAGAGTTTACGATAAAACAAGATTATTTTCATGCAATTGTCCAATTTGCACGCGTCATCTCCTTTGTCTTCCCTCGGCTTTTCCTCTCCTCTCAATTAAGCACAGAATGATGAGAAAAAAGCATATTTCTTTCTTTGTTCGTTTTTTTTCTTGCACCAAGTGTTTTTTCTTTTTTTTTTTTTATCTATATTGACTATTCCATTAGTAGCGACATGCGCATATTTTTCTTAGATGTATACATACGACTTTGTTTGAAGTTAACTGGTGCAATATTCAAAGTATCTTTTTCGATGTAACCATAAATATATACATATACTGCTATAGATTAGTGTATTTTCCGTGCAGATAAACGTCTTTTTCTTATAAAAACACAGATTCAATATATTTGTTATTCTGCTTGTATATTTCTGGTATTGAGACAATGATGATGAAACAAATTTTCTTATCATACTAAGGAACGACAAGAAGCAGTAAGATACAGAGGGAGAGAGAGAGAGAGAGTGCCACACAGAGAATGTGGAAAAGTAACAACGATAGAAAAAGCTGATCTAATTCAAAACATATGTTCTCTTTAACAACCACAATATAGAAACAAAAGAAAGAAGAAGAAGAAGAAGAAGAAAAGCATAAATTAACAAAGTGATGTGTTTATTCACTCATATAATGTACGCGTAAGGGCAATGGTACTCCTCGGCTATCATCATTGCCATATTATCATAAGACATAGAAATAAGAGAAAGATAAGATAGAACGTAGTAGCTGTTCATCATCAACAGTCAACAGCGAAGAAGAAAAAGAAATAATCGAAATCTTTGATTTTTTTTCTGCCATCAATGATTAGATTATATCAAGAAAAGCAAAGCAGGAAAAAGAAAACGTAAAGAAATTCGACTCAATGCATGGAGACAAGTATTATCATATTATTAATATTCCACGTATATTGGTGCTTCGTTGGTGGTAAGTCTTACGTAATAATCTATTTTTTCTCTTATGTTACTTTTATTGTCTGTCTCAATCAAATAAACAGTTACTACTGCTAATCCTGATGCAAAACGTTTATATGATGAATTAATCAAAGATCGTGCCTACAATAAATTAATTCGTCCAGTTAAACATAATAGTGAAAAATTAACAGTATATTTAGGCCTTCGATTAACACAATTATTAGATGTGGTATGCTGAAATTTTTTTTTCATATTCAAATAATTCCAACGTTTTGTGTCTATTGTAAAGGACGAAAAAAATCAGATTATGACAACGAACGTTTGGCTTAAACAGGTAAGATTCGAAAGAATATTAATTGTTAGAATAAATATAAGATAGAATCTCGGAGTAAAGAATAAAAGAAAAAGAGTGCATGCATGAGTAGGAGTGGTACGACGATAAACTACGATGGGATCCAGCAAAATATGGAGGCGTCGATGTACTTTACATTCCGAGCCAAGAAATATGGCTTCCTGACATTGTTTTGTATAACAAGTAATCATCTTTATGTTGTGGTTGGATATTGTTATTCTTCATATTGTTGCACTATATTCTTTGGTTTTTTTCTTGTACAGAACACAATCACTTGATATTAGAAAACATTTTAATATTATTTTACCTTCTATTGTTTCCTTTTTATAATTTATATCACATATAACCCTTCTATATACACATTTATATTTATATAGTATCATTATTAACATAATTGACACAATGGCAATGAGGTGTCGACATAAGAATATACTAAAATCTATTATGTTGTTGTTTTTTTTTATTTCGTTGCTTGTCATTCCCTTGATTTTTATGCACGCTTAGGTACACGCGTGCTATCTTATGTATAAGATGATAGACGAATTTCTTTCTTGCACGCATGCGTTCTCTGAGAGTTTGTTGTTCTGTCCATCAACGCTTCTGATAGTTATGGATAAACATTGTTGACAAGAATAGATTATCCAAACGACATGCGAGCGTTGAAAACACACACACATCCGTCAAGAGACTTGACATCAATAGACAGATTCTGTTACTATACTTGCAAAATAGTTAATTATAATGATATATATATATGAAAGCCAAAGAAAAGAACACCAAGTTACCTAATAACTAATCATTTTTAGCTATGGATGGACGAACATTTAAAATGGGATCCGCTGAAGTTCAATAATATGACCAACATCTCAATTCCGGCTAGTGAATTATGGCGACCAGATTTGGTGCTTTTTAATAAGTTGGTGTTGCTTTATTTCGTAGAAAAACTGTTTTTTTTTCTTTTTCTATTGCATTTGTTTATATGCATATTTGCATGCATCACAAGTGGAGCGAATTTTTGTTTTGCTTAGAAAAGGAATTTTCATAAGAATTTGTTATTTGTTTTCTATTAAAATATTTTAGTGCTGATGGTAATTATGAAGTAACATTAATGACAAAAGCTACTGTTTATTATGATGGCCGCGTTATTTGGGAGGTGACATTGACAACAAATTATTTTTGTTCTAATGACTTGTTGTTTCTTCTTATTCTCTATTAGCCACCAGCAATTTATAAGTCGAGCTGTACGATCAATGTTGAATTTTTTCCATTTGGTTAGTAGAAATTTTTTTTTTTTGCCATGAAAATGATACTTCTCTGATGATCATAAGGGAATGAAATTGAAGAGAGGAAATCTTATCTTATTTATATAGAATAAGTAATAGCTCGGAGCCTTATGAGACTCAAACTAAACAATGCGATGGCCTGTAGATCGAATCGAGAAATAATTCTTCTATATATTTTTTCTTAAATTTTCTACCTAGATATTCAACATTGTCAGATGAAATTTGGCTCATGGACATATTCAGGTGAACAAGTTGATCTTGTTCATATTAATCAAACAAATGGTTACATACCTGTTTATGGCAATAATAGTAAGGAAATTCATCACACATTTAAGTCAATCCTATATAATTATATATATATTTGTTTTCTGGTCATTATAGCTGTACCCTATGCCATTGATTTGACTGATTTCTATCGTTCCGTTGAATGGGATATAATGGAAGTTCCAGCTAAACGAAATGTTCAAAAATATTCATGTTGCCCACAAACATACCCGGATATAACATTTCTAATTACACTTCGTCGTAAAACTCTTTTCTATACTGTTAATTTGATTATCCCATGTGTTGGTATATCATTTCTTACTGTGCTAACATTTTATTTACCATCGGATTCTGGTGAAAAAGTGGCACTCTGTATCTCGATTTTACTTTCATTGACTGTGTTTTTTTTGCTATTAGCTGAACTCATTCCACCGACATCTCTTGTTGTGCCATTAATTGGTAAATATCTTTTGTTTACAATGATTCTTGTTACCCTATCAATTGTTGTCACTGTTGTTGTATTGAATATTCATTTTCGTTCGCCATCAACACATCAAATGCCTGCATGGGTGCGGCGAGTATTTTTACATGTTCTACCAAGATTATTATGGATGCGTCGACCCAAACCAACTAATCTATTAGATTTTCATTTAACAAATATAAATATCAATCGTGTTAAACAAGTGCATCGACCAACAACATCATCCAGACGTGGTTTTCTTTTACCATTACTGAATTCAAGTCCCGATCAAATTCGTAAGAAAAAAGCACGTTTACTTGATGATTATGATCTCGATCAAGATGCTATGGAAACAAGTGGTGAAGATCAACATGAAGAAAACCGAATTGAATATTCAAACGAACCGTCACTTTATCCACATGAAATTAAAAAAGCATTCGAAGGTTTAAAGTGTATTGCAACACATATGAAATTAGAAGATGAAGAGAAAAAAGTAGACAGCAAACTATAATAAAAATTTCTAATTTTAAAAATGTTTCCATTCTGTTTTTCAAGATTAAAGAAGAATGGAAATATGTAGCATTAGTCATCGATCGGCTATTTCTTTATATATTCACAACCGCTTGTTTTTGTGGTACATGTGGAATTATTTTACAAGGTAAAAATTTAAAAAAAAACGTTTTAACTGATTTTTATTCTTGTCTTTTTCTCTAGCACCGTCAATTTATGATTATCGCAAGCCCATAGATGTTATTAAATCGAATCGTTTTTAAAACAATGAGCTTTTTATGTATTTTTTAATGTGTAAAATAAAAAAGACAGGCAAAAAGGATCGTCATGCATAGATCTATTCGAAATTTTGAAATAAAAATATGTATGTATAAAACTATTGAATACGAAGTTTTTTCAATTCTACTTTCAATCGTTTTAAACCAATTTGAAAACCATTCATTTGTTTGATTGCTTGATGAGCCGAGTGCATGTTATCGTACGAAACAAAACCAAAACATTTACTTCGACTTGTTAATTTATCAATAAATATCTTTTTTTTTCGGAGACAAAAAAAGAAAGATTTAGCGAGATGATTTTGATTTTGTTCAAATAGAGAAAATTACTTTGGCTGATAGAATATTACCAAATGGAGAAAATGTTTGTGCTAAATCGTGATCAGTAAATTCCGATGGAAGATGATAAATGAAACTTCGATAGATTTTCACTCGTTTTGTGAAGAACAAAAATGTCTATTTATAAATACTTACAGATTCGAACCTAATGGTCCAATTAATTGTTTTTCGTCATTTATATTCGCCGACTGAGAACTATTATTATTTTGTTGTTTATTTATTTGAAAATTATTATCATTTGTCAATGAAAGATTACGCATATTTGATATTCCATTTGTAGTCGACGAAAGAAAGTCGTTCAATAGGCAAATATCATCATCGGTTGATTTAGGCCACATACATGAGTTTATCTCAGCATTGACAAGTAAACCAGGTAGTGTTGAAAGACAATCTAGAGTAGAAAATTAGAGATGACAGATAATGTCTTTCTCTACCAAGATGGAATTTTTCTTTTTCTCTGCAAAACATAACAAATGTCTACCAAGATTAGTTAAACATGAATCAATTTTCATAGTTAATCAGTATTATAGATCTGTCAAAGTCGAGTAAATCTCATATATATATATATATATGTCAGCTAGATCACTATATCTGTATTATTCCGGAACAGAAACGCCTATCTACATCATCCATTTCTACGATAGAAGTAAATTCATTATCACTGGAAGCCTTAGAGAATGACCTTTACTGTTGGTTAAATGTTGTTGTTGTTGTTGCTGCTGTTCTTTACTTTGATCTCCACTATAGAATATAGATGTAGTATTTGTATTAGTTTCAAATAGATTGTTTTGTTGATGCTTAATTAATTTCGATGCTAAACCATTATGATTATTATCACCACAGGATAGATCATTAATATTATTCGAATAAAGTCTATTGAATAACATTAGATTTAAAGAAGTTAAATCTTCATTGGTTTCCTTTGTGATCGATGATGTATTGTTTGCTATTTGCTGAAGAAAACTTTCATTTAGTTTTTGTTGCATTTTTCTAACTTCTTTATCTTTCGGTGTATCAGCAAAACGAACATTGAGAGGCGATAAACAACCTTCCATTGTATATGAATGATGCATAGTTTTTATTGCATTTAACGCTGATTGCCGTTTTAGATATGTAACAAATGCACAACCACGCGATCGATTATTTAAATCACGTAGTACTGAAATTTTCAAGAAAAACAAACTTCACTCAATCACTATTTTGATTGGCCATCGCCCACTTACCGGTACACTCTTCAACAGTACCAAATGGTATAAATAGCTCTTTTATTTCATATTCATTGCACGATCTTGATATCATACCAATAAAAATTTTCCGTTCATTCCGATTTTCTATATCGGCTGGTTTCACTTGCACCGCATGATGCATGCCAGGCAAAATGATTAAATTATGTAAGGCATTTTGTGCGCTCAGGGCTGCTTGTCGTGTATAATATGTTATAAAGCAACAACCTTTAGATTCACCACTGTGTTTATCGCGTAAAATATTTAGCTTATAAATTCGTCCATAGGGTTCAAAAAATACTCGTAATTCATGTTCAGACATTGTACGAGGTATTTGACCGCAGAACATTTCAATTGCATCTGAGTCCGGTTCATTACGATCAATAGTTAACGATGAATATGGCTTCATGATATCTGAATATAAATTTTGATTAAATATTTTTCTGTTGTAAGAAAAAAATAAAATATTGGAATTACCAAGCATGATGAACAATAGAATTTGGTTGCAGCTCAAAAAAGACAACAAAACACAAGAGTAGCAAACTGAGCTACTAAAATAACAGTTCAAATTTTGATAACGAAATGAAGAAGAGGAAATAGAAATATATGTTAGAGCGCCGAATTTATATAGAAAAATATTGACATTGCCATATCTTATAATGATTCAGTTTCACGTATATTATTCATGACTTCGGTTTTTGTTCTATTCTGCGTGGTTATTTCAGAGATAATATGTTTAAATCGACTAGTTTAATGTTATGCGCCTCGTTCGAGACTCCGACGACTTCGTGAGATGGCATGCTTGCAGATTTAATAGCATGATACCTGATATTTTATATTTACTTTATCTCGTCCGCTATTTTCTCTAAATCATTTTATTTTTTCTCAACCAGTTCAAATTAGTTATAAGAGAATAAAGAAAAATAATTATTTTGATTTTAATACTCAAGAGAACAGGAAAAAAAGCAATCTAGTCTACAAGTTACTGTTGGTCATAAAAGAAAAAGGTAGAATTTCTTTTTCTCGCTCTATTTATAGTAGAACAATAAAAAGAAAAAAAGCAGAACGACCATGACTGTTTTCTCATCATTTCTTTCCCGGGAACACATAAATCATCTACTGTAAAAAATAACACCGTAGTCACACACAAATAGTATCGAAGAAAATGTTCTGGGTTCTTTATATGTTATTTTCCATATTTCGGTCGCACCGAAATCGATTTTATTGGCGTGATGGAAAATTATATTTTGTCAAACAGAATCCACGACAACAAAATCAAAGGCCTTCAGCAACGTTACAACAGGAACAAACATATAGACAAAATATTCGACAATGGTTTATATTTTATAGCATTTTAATTTCCATTATCATTGCTATTCTTATTCATCGGTTATATTCTCAGCGAAAAGTTTCCGTATGATTGATTCTAGTAGTTCTCTTTTTATTTAATAAAATAAAACGCAAAATGTAAACTTGGAAATTTTCTCGTCTACAGTAGATGCCATTTCTTCCTTATATTTTTCAGCGAATAAAAAAATTATGAATATAGCCATGCGCTTTGGGAAATAAATTATGGTCGACACTCGACAGTCAAGTATGCAAATGTTCAGGTAGCAACGACTAATTTTCCTGATCAGAGGGATACAATTCTTTAAAAAATGGCGCGATTGAGCTTGATTGTTACTTGTAATTGTCGATGGATGAAACGAGTCGTTGCCAAAAATAATGTACGAAATGTATGTTTTATTACAAGACAAATTGGGCAAAAAATTATTCAAGTTATTTTGATGAATAAATGCAAGAAATTAATTATAGGTATATAAATAGTCTTATTCGTAGCGCAATATTTTAAAATATTGGCATAAGCTGCTGAAATTCATTCGCGGAGCGTTTCATCGTCTGGCTTCGTTTCAGAAAGAGAGTAACTTTGAATTCTGCATAAAAGTAGAAATCAGGAATCTTTTTTGCTTTTCCCAATAAATTTTTGCTCAAATCTAAGAACGAGTCGTTTCTCTGTCAGTTATTTGTTTACTGGCTCTTCGATAACGACGAAGAGATTCAATGTAAACAGAAAACACTCGATCGACTCTTTTCCTTTTTACCTGTCTTTTGTTCATTTCAAACATCGAACATTTTTGTTGTTGATGAATATTTATTTTCAGCATTTTCTCCCAGCTTCGGAAAGTAATTTTAAAGAAGTAAACCGAACGGTGTATAGAGAAATGCGTCGGATCAGAATCCTTGGGTATCTTGGTTTTCAAACAAACATTCGTGGAATAACTATGTGATATTTTTCTCTTGTTAAGATGAAATTCATTTGACAATTCTATTAAATATATAATGCGTTTATATTTATGTAATTTTACTAGAATTTATTATCTAGAAAATTATGTACACCTTATTATTCTTAGTAGAATTTTCCAGGAACAAATGTACGTGATACTTTCGATCATGAGATAGCTAATTCGAATTCGAATATAAATGGACATCAAACTGCATGGTATCAATTCGAAAATAAGTGATAGAAATAGATTTAGTTTTAGTTTTATATTTAGTTTAAGATGGAGTGGGTGTGGGTTGAGCGGGACTAATGGGTAACTGCGGGTGGCGTTACGAGTGAGGGGGGGGGGGGTTGGGGGGGGAGTTTAATGTGGTGTGGGGGTGTGGNCGAAAAAGGAAATTACAGAAATTTCCGAAGCTTCCATCAACTCGATTACTACATAGCAAAGCAAATGAAAATTTTTTGAAAATATTTGAAAGTTTAGAAATTTCGGAATCTTCTGTAATTTCGCTTTGTACAGAATTTTGGAAATTTCGGAAATTGTATAATTTTGGGAAGTACCAAACAATTTAGAACACAAGTACTTGAGATTTCCAAAATTTCCATTTTTGGAAGTCTGAACACTGCTGCAAATTTTTCGAAAATTATACAAATCTAACCAGTTTTCTATACAATAAAAGTCTTGACGTGTTCTGAAGACATCGTATTCTCGAACATAAACTTACTAATTCTATTGAGATTATTTAACTGGAAAACTAATTTAAAATAACTGTTTGAATAAAGAAAAACTTGCAGTACAATTTGTTTTATGTGACTGACTGAGACAAAAATAAATTTTGTATATTTTGTCCTTAAGACAATATGAAAATGAAATGAAATGAAAAACATAAACACAAAAAACTACTAGTAGAAGGCTGGGTTGATATTGTACTTTGTTGCATATAATAACGATATTCTTAATTAATATCCAAGTTGATGAAGAATACTGCGAAGAAAATCTTGTTGTGTTGCATAACCACCAATATCACGCGTCTTTATACGTTGTTGTTTGATTACAGTAGAAATAGCATTTTCAATTCTCTGAGCCATAGTGTCTAAATAATAAAATGATCAAAGAATATAAGTGAAATTAGCATTGTTTTTTTCTTAAATATTTTTACCAAGATTAAGATATTGAAGTAAATTAACTCCACATAATAACATTGCAGTTGGATTAGCAATATTTCGACCAGCACCAGTTAAGAATGGATGCCGTGCTCCCTAAAATTAAAAATTTACAGATTATTTATTCAAAATACAAAGAGAAAACAATTAGATCACGTCGAAGGGTCACTCTGCATTTTTTTGTACTTCTATAAGTCCGATTCTGGACAAGGAAACTTCCAAAAGTTACCACAGTTCCCGTTCAGAACAAAAAAGATTCAACTATTTCATCTCAATATCAAGTATTTATCGAAGTTTTGAGTCGACTATACATCATTGGTATAGATTGTCAGGTCGGGCTATGTGTGTGAGACATTTATTCAATTGTTCTATTAGTTTTATGATAGACCTTTCTCGTTGACTATCTATGATTTAGAAAAATAAACGTGCTTTCGATCAACATACTGGTTCAAAGATTGCAACATCCGTTGAATAAGATTCTCCAGGCACCATTCCTGCTCCGCCAACTAAACCAGCAGCTAAATTGGATACGATATTTCCATAAAGATTAGGCGCAACGAGTACATCGAATTGTTGTGGTTTAGAAACTAATTGCATGCATGTATTGTCAACAATCATTGTTTCTAATTTAATATTTGGATATAATGCTGCTACTTCACGGCATGATTCAAGAAAAAGACCATCACCAAGTTTCCTAAATATTTTACAAAAACAAACGTTTTTTTCTTTTGTATAGGAAAAAAACAAGAAACACTAACATAATATTCGCTTTGTGTACGGCAGTAATTTTCTTTCTATTGAATTTCGTTGCATAGTCAAATGCAAATTTAGCAATGCGTCTTGAATTTTCATAAGTTGTGATTTTTAATGATTCAACAACACCATGAACAGACTAAATGGCAGTAAAGAAACATTATTTTATAAAATAAACAACAAAAACAAATTCATTTTACCTCATGTTCAAGTGCACTATATTCTCCTTCAGTTTGTTCGCGTATAACAATAAAATCAACATTTTGATGTCGAAGTTTAAGTCCAGGTACGGTTTTAATTCGAACCACATTGGCATAAAGATCTAATGCTCGTCTGAAAAATATTGAAAACATTTTTGTTCAGATTATTTTTATTAACAATAATTTCCCATACCTAATCTTCATATTTAATGACATCAAATCTCCACCTTCGCTGAGAGCCGGTGTCTAAAAGTATACAATAGAATAGGAGTCCCTGATGCACAATCAAAGTCTATGAAAATAATTATCGTCAATGGACAAAAGACAAAGTACATCGGAAAAACCGATTAGATTGATAGTCTATTTATGAAATAAATAGTATAAATGAATTACTTACTGTTAAAATGCCTTTCATGCCGACTCGATTACGTCTAAAGGAAGCAACTATATCAGCAAGTGACGCTGATCGGCCAGGCATTACTTCGCTAGAATGAATTAAACAGTAGAAAGTATTTTTGTTTGAAATACATTCGACATCAAACCTTGCAAGTAATTCATCAAATTCAACCGGTGCACCCACTGCGTTGAATACTTCACGTACACATAACATTAATTCGGGTCCAACGCCATCACCTGGTACAACAGTAACATGATATTTATGTGATTCAGGAATTTTATCTACTATAGTCTTAAAATATAAACAATTGTATGTTTTTTTTTAAACAAAAAACAGCACATGTCATTTTTATAACTACTTACAGCTATTGATGAGAGATTTCTTAATTGCTAGCGAAATAAAGCAATCAATACAATACAAATCGATATAAATGAAAAAACTTACGTCAACATTTTTACGCAATATTGTACTGACAATATTCGATGGGAAACGGCGGAGGAGAACAGACGTCATGAGTTATCTGAAATAAACCTAACTAGAAAAATAGTTTCTATCATCATAATCAAAACAGAACCCAGAACGTTTTTTAATTATTCTTATTGGTTAAAGAAGAACACGAATCAAAAAGAACAGAAATGCATGGTTGAGATGGCTGATCATGACTGTTTAATATCTCGTTATTTGTTTTTTTTTCGGACAAAAAGGACCCTTTTCTAAGGTGAGTTAGACAATACAGGTGTTCATTTACAAGTTGTAATTTTTTTTTCGCTTCAGAATTAGAATTAAAATAAAATATGACGATTTTATCACATAATTGAAAAGTTCGTTCTTTTGAAACAAAAGAATGAATTGACATTCTATCAATCGATATGTACAAAACATATGCGAAAATAATTTGATTTATAGATGATTCAGATAGATTTTTTGAATTTATAAAAAAAAAATTTTTAAACGTCTCATTAAGAATTTTTTTTCGTTTTCATTACAGATATTACAATAAAATAGAAAAATGGAACGTTTTATGCGTAATATGGGTCTTGGACAATTGCCTCGAGATTTACAAGGTGGTGGATCTCAAGGTGATACTCCTATGGTTGATACAGCCGAACAAGTTTATATATCCTCATTATCACTTCTTAAAATGCTTAAGCATGGTCGAGCTGGTGTACCTATGGAAGTCATGGGGTAAAGATTACTATTTAATCTTTAAAATTTTTTCTTTTATTTAAATGAATCATCTTACGATTTAGTTTAATGCTGGGTGAATTTGTTGATGATTATACAGTACGTGTTATTGATGTTTTTGCTATGCCTCAATCGGGTACTGGCGTTAGTGTTGAAGCTGTTGATCCTGTATTTCAAGCTAAAATGCTTGACATGCTCAAACAAACAGGTCGACCTGAAATGGTCGTTGGCTGGTATCATTCACATCCAGGTTTTGGCTGTTGGCTATCGGGTGTAGATATAAATACTCAACAAAGTTTTGAAGCTTTAACTGAGCGTACTGTTGTATGTATTTGATTTTGTCACAATAGTAATGAAACAAAAGTTTGCTCTCATTTTAGGCTGTTGTTGTTGATCCAGTTCAAAGTGTTAAAGGCAAAGTTGTTATTGATGCTTTTCGTCTTATTAATCCAAATTTGTTTGTACTCGGGCAAGAAGCTCGACAAACTACATCAAACTTAGGTCATCTAACGAAACCATCGATTCAAGCGTTAATACATGGTCTTAATCGTCATTATTATTCGATATGTATAAATTATCGTAAAAACGACTTAGAACAAAAAATGTTATTAAATTTACATAAAAAATCTTGGATGGACGGTTTAACAATACAAGATTTTAATCAACATAACGAGCAAAATACTAATGTTGTTAAACAAATGCTTGATCTATCTAAAAATTATATTAAATCATTAGAAGAAGAAGAAAATATGACTCCAGAACAACTAGCAATAAGAAATGTCGGTAAACAAGATCCAAAACGCCATTTAGAAGAAAATGTTGACGCTTTAATAACAACTAATATTGTTCAATGTCTTGCTGCTATGATGTCTTTAGTTGTATTCAAATAAAAACATGGCTATCTCTTCGTTCTTTGCATCTGTTAGATTTCATCTTATTTGTTTTTTATTTTTCTTTTTTCTTTATAATCAAGTCTTGACGCGTATGTATTGTTCGAATGGAAGTTTTTTTTGTTGTTAAAACGAAAGGAATAAGAATGAAGAGAAAAAGGCAACGGAAATAACACCTATAAAAACGAAAGGTTATCACTCTTTTGGTTGTAACCAACAAGACGAAAAAAATAATTCTCTCTTAAAATTTCATTCTCATAAACTAAAAACAATCCTAGATCGAGTTTATTTCTCTATATATACTAAAATGGATGAATCATTTTAACAACCAGTTCTTTTTTTCATAGACACAGACCATTTAATACAACGGGATACGGGTACACGCATCAATTGATTTATTCGAGAGAAAAAATATTTTTCATGTTCTCTTCCTTTTCTTCGTCTCTTTTTTTACATCTAAACCACCTGTTACTTCAATCTTTACTATAGCTATTACTCATACATTGCGCTTTGCTTTACGTATACGAAACGGTGAAGGAAAAAAAGACATCGATATCATATCATTATTCACCATGAAGTTTTTCTCATAGAAAAAAAAAATAACTATGACGGAATGGTTTACAATTCTTGCTATTGTTTTACTTATTATTTTAATGGTTGTATTGGGCGTTCTGCTTGCATGTATGTTAGCAGGCCAACGTTGCACAATATCAGTTCAAAAACGCACTCCAAATCCTGAATTAACTCGAATTCAACTAGAAAAAGAACTTAAAAAACAAAAAAAATTCAGTTCCAAAGTCAAACGAGCATTGGATCCCTCATCGAAAGTTGAACAACCTCTAGCACCTGTTGAAGATGTTAAAACAGTTGAATTAACATTTAAATTAGGTAAGAATGAAAATGATGCCCAACAAATAACAACAATTAGTGAGCCAACAGCAGATCTTCTACCTGTACAACGTATTAGTGAAGCAGAGCGTAAAGCGCGCGAGAAAAAACGCGAACAAATTAGAAAAAAATATAATATTTAAAAATTTCTAAATTTTTTTTGTCATTATTACGTATTTTTCGATTCCGATTAAAGAAGAAACTTCTGTGAAGTTGTTATTTAAATACTGTTTTTGAATTTTTAGAACTTTTCATCAGCGGCGTATCACGGGAGGGGCAAATGGGCAATTGTCCAGTTCATTTGGAGAGTTGCGCATTGTAATTTTTATTAGTAAATTTTTGTCCATTGAATTTTATTTTTTCCGAATTGTTTATTCATGTTTTAATTAGATAGCTGCTGCATTTTTTTCTTCCATCTGAATCTCACATACACTCTTTGCTTGTTCTTTCTGTGAAGAATTCAGCAAAGAAGAAGAAAAGAGTCGCTTCTTGTATTTTGACTTCTGCATGTTTTTTTCCTCACTTGTCTGTGCATATATGTATAGTGTGTCAACAGCTTCTGCTGAAAGAAGTTTCAGCAAGAGGGGAAAGACTATTTTGATTTTCATAATTTTAAGTGGTCCGTAGTGATTTTTACGAAATTAAAAGTTACCGGAAATGACTGGAAATCATTGACAATCACCGAGAATCACTGAAAATCAAATGATTTAGGGGTACTTTTTTGTGATTTTGGGTTGATTAAAATCACCTCCTCCTTGCTGAAACCCCATTCCTTTGGTTTATTTGAAGCAATTTTACACGATTTTGAAAATGGTTTCTAGTGAAAGGAAGCGATTAAGAGCAGATCTACTTTTTGTGTACTCAAAAAAAAAAGAGTACACTATAGAATCGGTCAGTGTGTCCGGCCGTCCGGCCGTCCGTTTATTCGATAACTCTTCACAATTACATTCGATTGAGCTGAAATTTTGTGCACAGAATTGTCTTATCAATATCTAGGTCGAGTTCGAAGATGAGAAGGATCCGTCAAGAAATGGCTGAGTTGTCGAAAAAATTGTCATTTTTGATCAGACCATCCCTGAGGGGGAGTACAGGGATTTTTCAAAAAAAACTTTTCTCAGAATTATTCACAACATATATAAATCGACTCAGTTTTTAACGCTGATTCTAAATCTGATATTAGTTTTGAACTAAGTCATAGCTTTCTAACGAAACATCGCCTGAAAAACGTCTCAAAATTCACAAAAACTCCATCCAGAAATCAAATTGTCTAGTTTCTCATGATAATTTTCGTGTTCAGGCATTCTAGAATGACTCATATGTCGCATGCACTTTTTGCAGTACACATAACTCTCGGATGAAATCCGAAGTTTCCACATTTATTTTATCTGACTTTACTTGACCTTCGGTTGATTCAAATCACTCCCACCCCCCTGAGTTTCAATGAATTATCGAGAATTAAAAGTTAGTGTCGGTCTACCGTAAAACAAAATGGACTAAACGGGCTTACTGTTGCATGCATTCATAAAGATCTCGATATACAACTCTATGAAATATTGAAATTTTATACACAAATGTATCATCGTGGTCTTGATTTTTGTGTTTGAATTTAAAATATAAATGTTGTGAACAGTGACATTGAAAATAGACTAAAGAACGCCCGACGCAGGCCTAAAATCTGAGTTTGATGTATATTTGATTTAGACGACCTCATTTCATTTTTTTTACGTTATCAGTACTGTGTTGACCCAAAAAGTTTTGGCCCATCATGTTTTTCCGACACAATAGAAATTTGTCCATTGACCTAAAACTCCTGGTTACGCCGCTGCTTTTCATATAACACATCAGTTGTATAAAAAAAAAGGCAGAAGGATTTTTTACTTATAACCTAATAGTTGATTTATTCCTTTGTGACTTGAATATTATTGACTAACTGTTTCTACATTTACCATACGTTTATGCAGTTTCAAATCGATCAATACTCATAAACATTTGTTACACATATTTGTCAAAAATAAAATAAAATATGATTTCTCAAATCACTCGAGATACAACTTAGTGTGTTGATTAACAACAGTGGTCTAACTTTGATTTTACACAGTTCCTTCGAATTTTTACAATCAAATAAGGAGAGATCACAGTACCAACAAACGTGATGATAGGCAGCATTGACACTTGTTGACATTTGAAAAGCAAAAATGAAAAAAAGAATGATGATCAAAATCTAGTTAAATACAAAGATAGAGTGTGTGAGTATGGCTACAAGTGAAATCTATCAAAGATGGGATATTTTGATTTGACAGACTTTTGAATTTGGTTCCGGAACAGACCATGAACCCGTCCTATTGCTGATATGTATACCGACATCCGTACTCACCTCAAGATATGATAGAATGAAATATAGAAATAAAAAGCAGTGTAAAAAAAAATGTGTACAGATTTTCGGCTTTTCTTAATTAGTAAAAATCAGGATTTATGAACTGTAGTACGACATACTTGCTTAAAAATATAATAGATAAAATATCTGCAAAAGCGCAACATTGATGAAAAGAAATTCCGAGTGTCAAAAACTTTCAGAGACGACTCAAGCCAATCGGTTTACACTTTGACAAACGTGAAATATTGGTTGGGAAAAATCTGCCCAAGACGCCTCGTCGGGGGTGGACTAGAACACGCGAATATTGAAATTACATCAAAAATTTTAGAATGAATAATATTCTGTTTCATGTAATTTACATCAAACTAGATGGTATCCGAGTTTCACTCAAATATGAAATGCCGGTGTCTGAAAAGAAAGCAGGCACTGACATCCACACGCCAACAATGGATATTTGCGATAAAATACGAGTTTGAAACTAACAAATTTTAAATACAGATTCTTCTTGTCACGCAATGACCATAAGATTCTAATGTTGATGCTATATCCAGTATATGTAACGCGCTCGAAATCCTTTTACTGAGCAGAATTTGTCGTTCTTTTGTTTAGGTTGCAGTTAGATAGATATCATCGAATTGCATTTGAGAAAAAAATATTAGAAAAAACTTTCTTTTAAACTACAATTTTGGGTCTGTTTTCTCTTATATTTGAGGATACCTTCGACACATTAGGAAATGTTGTTCTTTTTTATTTGAAATATACTTTCTCATGTCAGCACAATGAACTCTATATGACCATAAAAAGACAAAAAAAAACTCTCTTGAAATTCTCAACACTTTAGAAATACTGTAAATACCTTTAAATGTGAATATGTCGGCTAATGCATGGTAGTGTTGGCCTACTATTTTTTAATTTGTTAGTTTGACAGGGAAAGCTCTACTTTTCTCTGCATATCTACTTATATTAACAAACAAGACAAACACATTCATCGGAAGAATTAATATTCATTCTTCTTCAGGATACCAGTTAAAATGCGAAAAAATTTCTTCATATTCAACTTCGTCAAATATTTTCTTGTTCATCATTTTTAGAGCACAAATATACGTACGTACTATACACATCTGTGATGAATAATCGTAAGATCAATAAAATACATAGGTAGTAGAGGACAAAAGACTATCATGCAGGATCTGACTCGTTATGAAAGGTAGAGGTCTGAAAATTTGTGTGCGTATAATTCGCCAAGAGTCTCGATCAGAAACACAATTCTGCCTCAATTGCTTTATTAAAAGGCGAATTATGATAGATGAATATTGATCGCATCTATATTGACTCTGAAGTTCATAAATTCGGTGAAGTTCATCAACCTTGTCTAGCACTGTGACCATGTTACTGTCACTGTCTACGTGAAGAAACAGTCAGCACCCACTCGCTTCCGAGTGTCACAATAAAAACAAGCCGCTAACAAAAACAAATTCATTCTTTTATTAATTTCCTCAGAACACAAAATTAAGTTATAACAAAGGGAAATACGTATAAAAGTCTTTTGAATGTACTACCGTCTTCTCAATAATTAATTGTTTCACTTTAACACAATTAAGCAGTGTTGTATCTCTTGTGAAGTTTTCTGTTACACTTCTCAATTGATTATAATTGACTGTTCATTCGGTTAGACGAGGCAGATATGTCTTTGTTTGATTGAGAAATTGTTCAACATAATCAGTATGACTATGCAAGAGAGAAAGCGAAGTAAAGTAAGGATATTCAGCGATTGAATGGAATTGATTATCATTCGAATTGAATTCGTGTGATAACTGTAGCTGTGGTCGAGAATTAAGCACACGCATTATTTTCAGTAAAGGAAAACAGCGAGTAATTCGCATGCAAAATTCATGTTTAAATGGAAGTATATCGTGTACTGCCAATTCTATCACATGATTAAAAACCATTGATGGAAATGTGTTGCCAATATATTCAAGATAATCAAACGCAAACGGTAATGAAAAAGCATGGCATATAACACCATTACTTATTCGATTTAGAAAACAGCATATTTGTTGATATCCTATGTTTGTAAAAGTTCGTTGAATATCATGGTTCGATAAATGGTGAACTATATGATTTAATTTGGTTCCGGTACTAATATAAAAAGTAAATTTGTTAAGTCGTGGCATATGAACAAGAATATTCTCATTAATTTGAGTATCATCGACGCATGAAGTTCGTTTCTCATTAATAATATTTAAACTTAATTCTTCAAGATTTGACATACGACGAAGAAGAGGTAAAACATGAGTATCATATTGATTAGTTGAACAACGACATTCCAACGAGAAGCATTTCATATTAGGCAGATTATTCTAAAAAGATACAATAATATAACTCGAAATATTTCAACTTGAAAAAAAATGAATCTAATAATATCTACACTTACGATATTGGAAACAACTGATGAACGATATTCTGTACAATTAAGCTTAACAATCAACATAATCAGATACTTGAGACGGCCATCATGAAGAGAAACAAGTAGCCAAAGATACATTACGAATTAAGAAAATTGGAGGTATTCCAATAACAGATAAGTGTTTCAGATTTTCAAAGTATATTCGTACACATATTTTGCATTTTTATTCGTTAATAATATGTTAATATCGTTGCTATATACAAGAGTGAAATCTGTAATTTGTTGTTGAAAAATACGTCGAAATGGCGATTCGACTAAATAAAGAACAATTAAATATTGTGTAATATACACAAGGTTTCTATTAAAATCTTTTCTTTTACATGAGTACTGAAATGTCTTACCTGTAAAATAATGTGAAACAATATAATCGATAACATTGAACAGTTTAAGTTCAGTTAAATTAGGATAATCAGCAGCAAGAAGAATACGTTCCATAGCTTCTGCTTCAAGAATAAGAGATGTAACATTGTGATCAATTTTAGGCAAGATATTAGAGCAGTACCGATTAAGCATTGAATCAGCAATCGACAAAACATCATCAGCTATCGTTGTTAATACAAAATTGAGAGTCTTCGTGAAAGCTTTGTCAAGTATTATAGTATCAAGTCGTTGATTATCGACATCCAATAATGAATATAGAACATCCATATTGTCAAGTTTCTTTAAAATAATGAGTAGTATTTCATCAGGTAAATCAAGAAAAGTAACGTTTGACCGATCCATATAGTGCTGCACGGGTGCACTTTTTTCCACCCGAAACCGGACCGGAGCTTTTCTTCCTTACCCGAGTCCGAACCGACCCGACAACTCCGTACCCGGACCCAAACTGGACCCGAATAACTCCACCCGGTACCCAACCGGCAGCCGTTTATAAGTATAACACACCCGGCTACCATTATCACGTATAATCAATTTCAAACTTTATTTCATATGAAAAATTATGCAATCTACTTAAATAAATAAACAACAAAACCACTCATCTGAAATTACGTAAAAAAATGTGAAAACCTCGGATTTAAATCCGAGTATTATGTGTACTTCAAAAAGTAAAAACACAGAAGCAATTTCCGTTTAAGTATCTTTGCAATAGGTGACTTAGCCATCTTGCTTCTTAATGTTTTATATACCATTTTGTACCCCGTGAAATTCTCTATCGAATGGTATGTAATAGCTGAATTTTTGTTTGATTATGAGAGAAATGTTTTTTTCACAAAAGTCTGGATAGGTCAATAATCGTATAGAAAAACATAGGGAAAAATGACTTTTTATTGCGATAACTCAGCAATGGCTCTACGAATCCTTCTCATCTTCGAAGTTGATGAAGACATTGATGAGACAATACTGTGTACAAAATTTCATCAAGATCGCACTCTCTTTTCAAAAGTTATCTTGTAAACGATCGGACACACTGACTGATTCTAGAATGCACTACTTTTTGAGTGCACAATAATTTTAAGTACCTTGAATCTTGAAAAATAACAAAACAAAAACTTTCTTTTCATTTCTACGTTTTCCTCTTTGGTAAAAGTGATGATCCAATCGGCTTTAATTCTTATCCCAATACCTTGACAATAGTAGATACCAGGTTGAAATAGTAAAAATATTTTGAAAAGTTGAGCTGTCACTAAGTGCCGGTTCGGGTCCGGGTTTGATCTTAGACTTGGGCCCGAACCGAAATTTCTTTTTTAACCCGACGCCCGAACCGACCCGAAAAATTTTACCCGAACTCATGGTCCGGTTCGGTTCGGTTTCGGGTACCCGACCGGGTTGCAGTACTCTGCTGATCCATATTAATTTTGATTGATGCTCTTCGTAAGGTGCATTTATATATATATATACAATGGTCTGCAAAAAGCTTGGAACAATCTCACAACATAAAGATTTACTGTTTTTTAGATTCTCTTGGCCCTTTGTTTTGTGGTTATTGTAGATTTATACTAAGTAGATTATCTACGAAAAATACTCATATATTTGATTGGTTTCTATTTTATAGTTCTGTAATAATAACCTGATGTAGCTAAGACAGCCAGTCTAAAATCATATCAAATTTTCTGATTACATTATTGGAACATCAGAATTTGTTCTAATAAGAAAATCTACCGATATACAAAGATAACATTGCCTACAATTAGATACCAAATTAAAAATCTCAGAACTCAATGCTTTCGGGAATATTGAGCAACTAATGGTCGAAAAAAGTGCGATTAATACCAAACACAGCTAAAAATTAGGTCCATTTATTCGAGAAAATAATGAAGTACTCTAAAACAATTGACTGAAAAATGGCGCGAACAATGTAAATTAACGGTTTTCACGAGCTCAATCTCACACCATTTGAATCGCCTTAAAGATGAACATTAAAAAACTTTCTAATCAAATTTGACTAACAGAAAAAAGATAGATGTTCCTTGGTTATTGAAAAGAAAGCAGGATGAATCAAATATTGGATCAGATATTCTGAGACTGTAAACTGATATATGTTGAATATAGAAGCATTTTTTTGAAAGCAGTTTAAAAAGGCGTTAATATTCGCTAAAGATTCGTTCCAAGCTTTTTTGCAAACCATTGTATATATGTATATCTTCATTGTTTCTTTGTACTCATTTCCGTCATTGACTAAAATCAATGGATGACCTCGCCGAAAAAGTATAACATTGATAGATAATCCAATGAATTCATATAGCATCTTTCCTCTGTCCGATAACTCCTGGAATGAATAGCAATTATATTCAGTGGAGGGCGCCATATGTTTAAACATTTTTTCGAAGTTGCAATCGAAAATTTTCAATACGAAGTAGAATAAATATATCAGGTATATGCTCATTTGTCGTGTTGAACTACAAGTTTCGCGACTTAACTGAATAAAAATAAAATACACCGCAAAGGAGTCGCTACAATTTCATATTTCATTATGCTTTGTGTCATTAATTGTCACTTTTTTAAAAGAAACCAAGAACTTAGTTCGACGGAGAATAATTTTCTATATCTACAGTCTATACTAATAGTTGAACACTTATTCTCTTCCCAGTTTATCTCGGATATTATTGTCATCGCTAGTCTCTCCCCATCATAAGTCATCGAAAGACTTTCAAAGAAGAAAAATACTATACCAAAAATGTCTTGAGTTTTATTCACCAATATTTCTTATAGTGAACAGAGATTGTACTTTCGTGCATGTCATAGAAATAGAATAGGATATCAATGAAAGAGCGTAATATAATTATTTATTTTTTTATAGATCGTCTCTTTGAATTTTATTGAATCTTCTTAGATCAACATAATATGAGATCATTTGTTTGTTTTAACATTTTTTATGCTTTATTTTTTTTTTCGTTGGTTGTAAAAATAAACATATATAAACCATAACGGGTGCGCCTGGTGAAATGAGCCCCTCAGTATTTTTCGAATATCTCGTTCAGGTTCTCACGTATTTATTTAATTTTTTCTCTGGAAGATAGCCCATCGAGTTCTCTACAAAACCTAGTGAAGACAGTTCTTTCAACGAATCATTATGAAACTGCATCCAGTCTACACCACAATGCTCCAAAATAGTCCACTTTCAAATACGCATTTTTATAAAACTAATTATTTCATTTTTCCTATTCAAACAGATACGAGACTCTACTCTCATGCAATTTTCCTCTGCTCTCAGATTTAATCTCTCTGATAAGACTCAAAATAAGATATTTGGATAGGATTGCGAGTTGCCATCGATCAATTTTCTTCAAAAACTGTTTGAAACTATCGATTTTGCTCAATTGATAGAGCTTTTCAAGAGTTACAAACTAGCCTAATCAATCCGTTTTCTAAGTAGGAAAAGAGCAGTGCAAAATCGGAAATACAAAATACAGTGCTTTGAAAGTGGACTATTTTGGAGCATTGTAGTTTAGACTGGATATAGTTTCATAATGATTCGTTGAAAGAACTGTCTTCACTAGGTTTTGTAGAGAATTCGATGGGGCTATCTTTCAGAGAAAAAAATCAAATAAATACGTGAGAACCTGAACAAGATATTCGAAAAATACTGAGGGGCTCATTTCACCCGGCGCACCCGTTATTTTTAAAAAGAAAGAAAAATTTGGCAAGAGAACCTTGATATAAATATCCTGAACGCATAATGAGCAATAGAAGAAAAAACAATCTTATTCTGCCGATATTTCAGTAACTGTTTCGCCGGTTTTCGATCGAAAAGCGAAAAATTCAAATGCCAAGTTTTTTTTTAAGTGCGTGTCGTTTTTTGTTGAATAACGAAAATAAATGAGACTAGATGGTATCTGAGTTTCACTCGAATACGAAATGCGGTATGAAGCCCGCAACCTGATTTCCTCTACAATAGGTACAAGTACAATGGCAGGATCGCTTTACACTGGCAACATTACAAAGTTACTAAAAATTTTAGGTATTCTATGGAACATTGCTATCAACACTTATTGAATTTTCAAATACCCATAAGGTGGTTACCGTAAAGCCTCATTACTAAGAGAACTTTATCCATATGTACGAAGACGCTTATTTACTTGTTTGACTTCCTATTGATAATCAGGTAGATCCATAGGTTGTGAAAAAAGTTAACTTATGGATGAATTTCACTACTGTTCTGAATAGAGCGATCTTTAATAATAATTATGATAAATTTCTTTCTAATATCATTGTTCGGATGCGTTGTTTGGAAAATGATAGAAAAGTAATCATAAAGTCTTGACACGGGTAGTTTTTTATTTGAATATTTTTTATCTGAGTTAGAAAAGCACTTTTTAATTTCTCCTTAAATGATGATTATCGAGTCAGTTATTATGACTTGTCAAGCGTAACTCAAGAAACGAAAATGAAGTACTATTTGTTAGAAAAGATTTTTGCATAAGGAAACTTCAATGAAAGACACCCGTTAGGTATTGCAATAGATTGCAAAGTCTTTTATTGTAAGAACTGATATCGTTCTGGAGTTTACTCTTTTTCATGCGTACGCATTTTCCAATGTGCATTTGCTAAGAACAACCCATTAAAATTTCCAATAATTTTCTATTAGTCACAATGAAATTCATAACCACCATGATAACTTCGTTACAGTTATCACCTAATTCTTAAAAAAAGGATATCGATTGAATTTTTAAGCATATCTATGAGTTCACAGCCCATAAACAGTTGTTAAAACACTTACTAGTTAATAACTCTTTCTGTTGGCGTTATTTTTACCATCCAGAATCTTGAAAATGAAAAAGTTAATGATGAATTCCACGATTTTTTAATTGTGTCATTGGGAGATTTGAAATAAGATGGTAATAGATCTATCTCAATAGTTCCATTAACGTTCGAACGAGTATTTTTTGATGCTGCATCCTCAATATCAATTGAACATTAAATTATGTATACGACTCATAATTTGTAATCAGGTGTTTTATTCCTGTTCCACATATGAATATAGAGAAAATGGCGCGTAACTATTTCGTTGTACTATTTCGAATTAAAGAAAAAGGATATCACATATTCGATTTCGTTACGAAAATCTTCAATGCAAACAAATATTGAATATTTTTTATGTAGCCATAATGTAGTTCATCACTCTGAAAACTCTATTCATACTTAGCGATACATTCTTAAAGGCTGAATTCGATTAATTATCTCCGTGATTCATTATCTTAGATCAGCTGTGCCTTTCATTTTCGTCATTATGAAATGAGAATTCGGTGAAGTCTATTCATCATGAAAGATTGCCAATCGAAAGAGCAAATCTATTTAACTACAAACTATGTTAGATATAAAAACAACTACTATTTTCAGGTCGATTTTACCAAATAGAACTTCTATTTGTATACATCGGCTAGTTTATCTTTTCACGGTAGTACTATCTGCCATTTTTCTATTAGATATTTTGCATTAAGGCTGTCAAACAATTGTCAGCATATATAATCATGATTACACCAAGTGTCGATATCTTTATCTAAGATCTTTATCATTTGTTTCGACATACAAACGGTTATTCGAATAATTCATATACTCGAATAGATCATTGATTTCGTTGTGTTTTTTTATTCAATCAACAATTTCATAATTCACGGGATGCTATTATGTACTTGATAATCCACTCTGTTTTCTTTTTCTATTCAAAATCGCATACTCAACAAGGTGCTGTAAATCAGTACGCATATTCATGGTATATTAAACGATTATATGCATAAATATATGTTCATTGAACCATTGAATAAGATCATATACAATAAAATGAAAGTCACCAAACAAGTTTTTCATTGATTTGAATGAAGAAATAAAATGAAACTACAAAAAGTCTATTGTAAAATCGGCCCCGCGCGCACGACAAGCTTTGCAGCTGCCTTGAAAATTGTTTGATTTCGATGCCGACAACAGAGTGTTGATATGGTCACGCAGAGAGAACATGAAGACGACAACAACATAAAAAAAAGGAGAAACGATGATCATGCTTTTTATTCTCTTTGTTTTATCAGAAGAAAAGCATTTGGGTAGCGCGATTCATTTTTGTATAGTATTTTTTTTTCTTTCGCATAAAATTTGATTAGCCGTCGTCGACTATCGTCAAGATGTTTCAATGCACTTATCGTCGAGATCAAACGAATTAATTGTAATTTACAAGTTAAATTTCTAGTCGAATAGTTCGTCGTCGACAACGAAGAAAATTACTTTTATTTTTTTTTCTTGCAATTTAGCTCAAGGTGTGAGAAAAGATCATAATCAGATTGATGATCCATTTGTTATTCAAAACAATTATGTGTTAATCCTGATTGGAAAAAAAATACTGATGATAGTCATCTTGATTAGGATGCCAGTCGTTGGAGAGAGACACATACAGACAAACACATTCACTCATTCTGGTCTCATTTTAGGCACAACAGGGTGCCCACCTACCTATATGCAGTTGTTGTTGTGCATACCGTTGCAAGTAACAGTCATATTGGGTGATTAGTGTTCAAGTACGCATGAATGAGGGACGAATGACTATGACAATACTCTCAAACTTGCATCATACACGAAAGAGAAAAGTTTAGTAGTTTTTCTTTTCGCGTTTTTTTTCAGGTGAGTGAACTGCTCAAATCGTGTACATGATATATAACTATTTTTCGATTGGACGGCATTTGCGAGAGAGAGAGATAGGGTGTAAAAGGAAACAACGATAAAAAGAAACACATTAGGGAAAAGAATTTTCACCAATCAATCAGAATTATACAACCAATGAAAAATCAGTAGTAGACATTCTCATTTCTTCTCTTTCTTTTTGTAACGACTAAGAAAAAAAAGAAGAAAAAAACACGCACACACAAATGGAAGTGCGCTCGCATACGATTTGCGCATTATTCATTCAAACCAGCCAAGAGACCATTCATCGTTGTGCTTTACCACTTTGGCCTCTTTTTTCTTCTTCTTTTTCAGCGTCATTTCTTTTTACTTAACCCTGCTGTTGCTCCTTTCTCTTTTTCTCGGCAGTGTTCGTTTTTCTGACACGCAAGTCTGCAGGTGGTTCTTCCTTTTTTTATTCTACGTATACGCATATTACATTCGGGCATCAGCAAGTTAAGTAAAGATAACAACATCATACAGGTAATTGAAAGTTATGGTCAGTTCATTCGTAAAGACGTTCGTGTTGTCCAACTGGTGCCATGACTTATTCAGTCAAGAGCTACTTTGAAAAAAGCGCGACAGCTTACTTAATAGACTCACATCATAAGTCTTTTTTTTGTATTACTTCCAGATACGATGATTTCAAAATCTGAGAACAATCAATTGAAATTCTCTATTCGAAATTTAATTGAGACAACAACATCATCATGTGAAAAACAAGATAAAGGAGTGTCAAATCCAACAATAAATCGTTCTTTAAAACGAACGGTTGTTGAATCTGATTCATTATCATCAATAGCTAGTCCTATTCCATTACTTAAACCAAAATTTCCTCATCCATGTTGGTCATTTTTATCACAAATAGCCAATAAAAATACAAATGCAAATATTCCATTAAATTCTTCGTTAATATTTCTAAATAAAATGAATCAAGTTTGGCAACAAATGCAACGCACACAAATATCGCCATCAATAACAACAATAGCAAGTTCAACAACGGAAAATGATGATGTGTCCGACGAAGAGACTTACATGGACACATCATCAATACGTCGTCATAATGAACTTGATGATGATGAGGACGAGGACGACGAAGAAATCGACGATGAAGATGAAGACGATGAAATAGAAGAAGGTGAATGCTCAACGAGCACTGGTGATGATAAACATAATACAGCATTGAACAGTGACGATAATGATAAACTTAAAAATTATCCATGTGCACAATGTGGCAAAGTAAGAAAATTTAAAATCATTTGTTTGATCATAATTTTTTTTCATTAGGTATTTACTGCTCAATATAATTTAGTTCGACATATGCCAGTGCATACAGGCATTCGTCCGTTTATTTGCAAGGTTAGTTGTAATAATAAAACTCCTGATATATTTATTTGATATGATTGTCTAGATTTGTGGTAAAGGTTTTCGACAGGCATCAACACTTTGTCGTCATAAAATAATTCATACATCTGAAAAACCACATGCGTGTCGTATTTGTGGTAAAGCATTTAATCGTTCGTCAACGCTCAATACACATATGCGTATTCATCAAAATTTTAAACCATGGGTACGAAATGAAATTTTTCATCCGAAAAAAAAAACGTACCGCTACGTTTTTCTTTTCTTCTAGATTTGTGAATTTTGTGGTAAAGGATTTCATCAAAAAGGTAATTGGAAAAATCATAAATTAACTCATTCAACTATAAAACAGTATCAATGTTCAATATGTTCAAAAGTAAAGAATTTGATAATGTTTTTGTTTGCCTTGAATTTCGTTTTATTTTTCAATTTAGGCTTTTCATCAAATATATAATTTAAAATTTCATATGTATACACATTCAGAAATCAAACCCTATTCATGTATGATATGTTCAAAAGGATTCTGTCGAAATTTCGATTTAAAAAAACACATGAGAAATGTTCATGTGAGTAGTACAAGTACAAATGTAAACATGAAAATGAATTCAAATCACTGTGGTGAAAACGAAGACGAGGATGATGATGAGGATGATTGTCATTGACAATATTTTCAGATGTATAATAAATAAAACAAATTTTCTTTTTCATTTAATCTTCTTTCGTTTCTGTTTTGTATGTATATGTGTGTGTGTGTGTGTATTGGTCGCGAGAAAATACAAGAAAAAATAAATATATTTGCGTGTATATGTATTAATTGAAGTCACTTAACCAATTAATCGAGTCTGAACACGCGACAGACGAAGCAAATGGTGGAATTGTTGCTTACATTCCATGCCTGCCGAGAGGAAACTGAAGCGATAATTAGGGAGGGTGGAGATTTCTTTTTTCTAGCATACGTTTTTATTTTTATTGTATTGTATTTTTAACAACTCATCCTTCCCCCTTCAATTATTCCATGCCTGTTTCTGTTTCTTGTTATATATGTTTTTTTCTCAAATCATAATGTCTGCTTAGAGAAAAGACGAAGTAGAAGGGAAAAAAAGAAGAAAAAGAAGAGAAGTCCGCAGGGTTTAAGTACACCCGTTTACTTTTTCCTTTCTCTCGCGTATGATAGATGTAGGATGAGAATAGGACCTTTTTAAATGGATAATGAACATATTAAAAGGATGACACATTGTTCGCGTGATAGAGAATTTTTAACAAAAAAAATATCTATCAGTCATTTGAAATTAATAGTCTCATTCATGACAGAGAAAGCAAAGCAAAGCAATGGGATTTCTTTGCGAAAAATCATATTAATTCCCTATTTCTAAGCTTATTATTGGGTGGAAACAGGAAGAGAAAACTTGTAGAATAATAACAATAACAATACAAGAAAAAAATAACTGTTAACCACTTGTCACTCAGTCCGGATCCCTACAGTGTATTTCGGTATGATCATCATTTGTTTCTTTCTGATCTTATTCTTTACTATCGTTTAAGAGGTACTCACAATCGACGAGAATATAAAAAAAAGAAAAGAAATCAGTTCCATATTGTACACTCACCCGGCATTCTTTTCATTTTCAACACTATTTTTAATAGGATCTTTTGCTTTGCCTCATTTCCACTTGACAACACTCAAACAAACGAGGACATCTCACAATGTATGTATGCTTGATCATTAGTCAAAACGACGATACAAATTGGCTCCCTTGTGATTTTCATCATAACTAAAATTCAATTGGTCGATAAATAGAAAAAGAAAAGGAATTCGTTAGTTGTTATTATTTATTATATCTTTTTATTAAAAGCAAAATAAGTCCAAAATGTTTGAAATATTCTTCCGACAATTCTTTCTTCGTCTGTTAATTGATGAGTTTTTCTTATATTGGAAAATTTTTGCACAACAAATGATATTAGAAAATATTCAATAATTTTCGCTGAAAAAACCCAAAGAAAAAATTGCCATAAACCTCTTGATATTGAACCAAATATAACATTATCGGTTGGTTCAGCATCTCTTATCGATGATATTAATACAACACGGAAAGCAACGAAAAATGTTTTGAAATTTTTTTCATTTGAAAACAGTAAACGACCGATTAATGTAAATATTAAATAATTTAGAAACGCAAAACATAATATGATGATAAAACCTTTAGCTGATTGATAGATTGTTTCAGCTAGTAAGTATGTTTTAGGATTAAATCTAAGTAAATAAAGTAATTTAAATATAGCAAATAAACATATTAAACCCATTAAATGATTTAAAACTGTATTATTAACAATTAGAACACGAAATGATACAAATAAATGATGAACATTTAATGATTGTATGAGATTATTAAATTGTAAAACTTTAAGATCGAAATGAACTAATAGAAAATAATAGCAACAGAGTATTAATAATATACCATCGACTATATTTGATAATGTACGAAGAAAAAAAACCAAACCATAAAAACCAAAATTCCGAGTAAATCTTGCTAGATCGAATAATTTTGTTGTAAACTAGAATTTTTGTAATCAAAAGAAAATTCATCAATAAATGAATTCTAAATATATCAACTTAAGCCGAACGATTGACTTTTAAGGTTACTTTCGTCCAATCAAAAATGTTAATTTTTTTATCTTGATATTAGAAAGATATTGTGCATATTTAACGTAATAAAGACTTAGCCAATGGTATGAATAGTGCTCTATAACTTAGCAGAGCTACATTTTTTAACTTAATTTTCGAATGAATTTTTTTTAATTAGAAGCAAAAATGACGAAATTCGTTAGAATTTAATTAGAATAAAAAATCGATACCAACGAACACTCTCCGAGACAAATATGAATTGACAAAAGGAAATTTTGTTCTTCTTATAAATACAACGCCCTAAAGTACTTACGATTACAAATAGTAAAGCAGCAAAATAAAAATTTATTTTAATGAATTGACTTCCTATATCATTTTCGTTTGCTAGTATTTTTCCAGTGTTATTGCTTTGAGATTTATTTTGGTCAATTGTTGCTAATGTATAATCTGATACTTGAATAAATATCTCTTTTTCAATCATTCCAAATGGATTTTTTTCAATAATTAAAACAAATGAAATCATTGACGCTGTTTGTGGAGAATATAAATTTCCTTCAATAATTACAACTAATGTTTTCTCGTCAAACCAATTATCTAAATAATTCTTTAGATAAGAAAGGTACCTTTAACACAGCAGATTTCATTTTTACTTTTATCCAAATCGTAATATTTTCTTTTACGATTACAGCGTTCAACCTTTTTGAGAAATACTAAACGGATGTAAATAAATATTTTCTTGGTTAAACCTACTGTTTCCTTTGGTAATAAATGAAGCATAAAATACCATGGTGATTCAAAGGTTGTGTAAAGTTTTGTTATTTTTCTATAGGCTAATGCTGACCATATTGATGTATAGTTACAAACATCTTTACAAAAACGATATGATAATGATTCGTTCCAACCGGAGCATTTTCGTTGACCACCAATAACAAATAATTTATCATTCATTAAATCCTTGCCACCAACAAAACAACTTGGTGGTATTAAAGGATAAAATAGATTGTTTATTCTTGGATGACAATCTTTACGTTCAACACGAATTTGACGTATACGAATACTTTTACTTAAGTACAAGGGTGAATCAGCTATAGAGATTCGATACAACATTCTATCAGAATAGTAGAAAACAGATCAGACATACGAATTTGAACATAATTGCAGGTATCTTTTTGACACAAGTAATCTTTGTGATCAAGAAAAAGACGGTTCTCAATAAAATAACTGATCCAATCCTATGACAAAAAAAAGACATTTTCATTTTAGAGCTGTTTTTTTTTCGAAATAGAAAATGAACCATAGTATCAGGTAAGTGATCAATATTTTGAAAAATATCTCCACGAAGAAGTAGCTGTAATGTATATTGTCTCATTGTTAAATGTGTTTCAATATTTTTTGATCTAAAAACACAATGTTGCTAAGATCTAGGAGATATTCATCATTAAGAATTGTAGCAAGAAATCAGTTCCGATATTAGCTTGACATGTTATTGATAGTACCGTTGTTAGATTGTGTTTCAGAAAATTCACTGTTAGTAAAGTTAGCAATATTTTTATAATGTTTATTGATTTCAACTGTCTAAGAGTACGATAATAATAAAAAACTTTCTCTCGTTAAGGAGAAGTTCTTCATGTTACTCTAGATAAACTTTTCTGCAATTATATCAATGTTGTAAAACAAGGCGAAAAACAAAGAAATTTATCATAGTAAGAAAACATTTTTTCACGTTAAAATATGTTCTCATGTTCATAATGAATGAGAATGAAAAAAAGACAGATAAAACCAGTTTTGTAGAAATATTGACGTCAGAATATATGTAGGTTGATTATTCGCAACAGGGTATCGAGAAAAGCATTTTGCTATAAGTATACGCACACGATAGGAATTTCTGAAAATAATTCTAGTACACAGTCGCTCCTATCTCATACTTCATTATTGTCTAGTTACGAGCACATGGATTCAAATAGTACGCAAAATTTATCATGCGGAAATGTTTTTTGACTGTCTGCAGTCCTCTAATAAGATGTAATTTACTTTTACTACGTTGGTTTATCGTTAATCGCGTTAAATAAGCAGAAGTATTTTAATACTAAGCAAGGCTTTTCACTATTAATCAACCTATTGGATAAAAAATGTGTTTATATTTTTGGATCTCAAAGTCACTGTTTCTGTCGAGCTATCACGTTCTGTGCTTTAACAGAAAAATAACAAAAACAACGTACGTATTTGCAAAGACTAAAATCATAATAACCATAAATAAAATATAACCGATAACATCTCTAACAGCACGAATAATTGACGATTCAACAAAACGTTCACGAATACGTTCACGTAATTGTACGTCGGTTAGTGTTATATCTTGATTAAGTGTAAATGTATGACTCAATTGATGTGATTTAATATCAATCATGTTGGCAGTAGGAATCTAAATAGGACAAAGTATTTTAGGTAATTCGTTCATCTATTTACTTGAATGACACGTGAGAAAAATTTCTCTTCATCTGTGATATGAAAAAATGTTGCATTTAGTAATGATATCAATAGAATAACAATTATTTCAAATACCAATGTAAATATTATAGTTAATATATGAATAAATATAATAGCTGATGTTAAAAAATAATTTTCAATTTCAGTAAATGTTTTCATTGTAAAATACATGCATGCAATCGATAATATACCAAAAATGATGGATATTCCATAAAACATAATTGAATAGAATACATAGTAGTAAAATGATGGTTGATCAGGACCTTTTGGCCTGAAGAGAAAGAAGGTCCATTGATAGGAAAAACAAAACTAAAGGCTTGTAATAAAATTCACCAATAGACTTTTAATGGAATAGTTGATGAAGTTTTATTTTGTTCTAATGCGCTCGATTGAGAACTATCATTTGATAATGAATATTCATCATCATCATCATCATCATCGACCTTTTTATTTCGTCGTGAAATTTTATCAGTAATTGATGTTTCAGTTTCCCTCTTAAAATTTATTGAAAACAAATTTTTTCTCAAGATTTTCTTTTTATTCAGTAAAATAAATACTTGCCGATTTTTTGTTGCAGACGAACGTGAACTTAGTTTAGATTCTGATTTAGATAGTCGACTATTGGAAGCATTATTATTTTGTTCACTTTGACTATCTGCTTGTGAACTCATCTGTTCACTTTCTCCCAATGTACTAATACTAAAACGATGTTGTAAATCAAATTTATGAATAAAATTAAATTGTTCGATATCTTGACGATATGCATTTAAATCAGCTAAACTCGATGCCATTGTATACATAATAGAATGTAAATTATCAAACTTTTTAAAATCTGTTGTAGCATTTGCTAGTTGTCGATAGAGTTCAAGTCGATTTGTAAACCATGTTAAACTCCATATCAACATGGGCGTTAGAATGCCAATCATGGCGCTGAGGAATAGAGCAATGAAAAGTGATGGAAATAAATTGAGACGAATTATCTAGACAACACAAGATTGTTTATCATAGATTTTATCATGGAAAATATCTTGAAATCTTGCAGATCTGAAAGCGTCCGTGGTTGCAATGCCCACTAATTTACTATTAATATCAAAAGACTATTCTATTAATAAATAATCATTTCTCGAGATTTTGTAATTCTCTTCGTTGTCATAGACATAAAAAGTAAGGATATAGTAAAGAACAGACACAATCAAATATTCCTATGTCATGTTGTCTTTCGCATAGGAGATTTTAATTTTGTAACATGAGGGTGTAAAGAACATTTGGAACTTTATAACGGCTTACATTCATTGAATACCTTTACATATCTCAGTATTGATTTGCGGAGTCGAGGAGAAGAGGCCTACGATTAGTTTATTAAACAAATATACTAAATTACTTGATAGATTTCCATCCAATCCGATGCGACGAATGATTGATCAACTAAAAATGAAAACGATGGGAAAATATAAGCACATCGTTGATTGATCATTATATTTCGACATGATATAATAAGAGTTTGAATACAATAAAGTTGAAGAATAATTAAACAGAAATAGATATGTAATCGATAGATTCTTGATAATGTATTGATTTTTTGTTTATTAAATATTGAATTTAATAAATGATAATGGTAATAAAGCCAAGCGTATGTCGAAAGAAACAAATGGCCAAATGCATATTGATCAACTTCTTGTGCTACGTAAAATATTTCATTGATCACATTTAAACCTTTTCGTAATGATAACCACGTGTAACAACAAAAGTAATATGTTCGATGATAATTATAATCGTATAGTATACAATGACGTATATAATAATCTGATTTTAAATTAATTTCATCATGCCACATATTCAAAGCAACGATTCGACCTAGAAAAATTGACACTATGTTTCATGAGAAATACTTAATTTCTTATTCATATATAGGACCTATATCGACAAAAGACGTTATTACAAATTGATTGACACTACCACGTTGAAATACATTTGATAGATTTAAATTTAAACAATGTGATTCATCATAGCATTTGTCACCGATTAAACGAATATTAATTTTCAGATGTTTAGATGTTGATTGTTGAAGACCAGTAAATATTGTTAATTGATAAATATGAACATTAACAGCACCTACTTGATTATCAGCGACAAAATAGACGTAGGGTTTCTAAGAAATTCAAGAAAAAACAAAAATAAGTAAATGTGAAAGAGTTCATTTTTATTTCTTAATACGTACATAATCATCTGATGTATCTTTATAAATGGCGTAGATACCGAGTAGAAGAAAAATGAAGAGTAATACCGAAAGATAAATGTAAAAATGAAGCCAAGTTTGAGCATTTAATTCAAATTCGACAAGGATAGGCTTCGGTTGACATAAAACAAAATATTTTGTACTAGGTGTTTCACAATAGCATGTTAAATGAGCATTAGATAATTCTAAATTATCACTCAATTGAGTTTTATTTTCATTCACTAATTGACATGTATCATCTTGCAACTAAAAAACAGAACAAAAAAGTAATATGGCCACTAAGATTCGCTTTGTTCTCTTTTCTTTTTTTACCAAAATTTCATTTGTGTTATAACGTGAAACATGAGGATTATTCAAGAAGCTGCATCGTCGCAAGGATTTGATGTGTACTGTCTTTTATCAACTATCTCAAATTATTTATCATGTTTTCAAAAGCTTCAATAGCCTATAGTAAAGCAATCTTTTGCAGAACATTAGACACTACAGATTCTCAGCTCTACTTTGTTTCATACATCTGGGATTTAATTCCACCCTGATCTGTTGATTTTCATTTTTGCGATTTGTCCAGATACTTCACATCGCCGGGAAAGTTTTTGAGATTGAACACTACTCAGGGCTAGATTGTATCGATCTATTTCGAATCAATGACTAGAGATACGAAACACACGAAAAGTCCTTTCTTCCGAAATATCATTGAGGATGCCATTCTTTTAGTATACCTTCGTATAATAATCTTCATAAATATTTTTCTCGAACGAATAACAACCTGTTTCAAAAACAAGGAAATGTCCTGTTCGTTTTAAATTTCGAATTGATACATCTTTTGTAGTAAGTTCAACTTGTGCGCATACGATTGACATTGATGTAATCGGTATTGAATAAACAAAATAATTATTTTGCCATAGATCAACGTTAATTATATATTCAAGATATTTTTTATTGATAATTTTCGATTTTAAACACGAATTGTTATAAGCAATATGAATTGTAAATAAATAATGTTGAGAATTTGGTAGGTCGAAAAAGACCAAGGAAATATTTCTTGCTAGGTTTGTTGTATTCATTTGAAATGAAAATTTATGCGAATAATGATTTTGTTTTATACGGATTAATAAGATTTTTGAAAAATATTTTTGTAATATATTCGACGTGTGCAGATACGATTGATGAAGAGAAAATGACACAGATGTAGAATAATTTAATGTTAGATTATAATTTGATTCAATGGATAATAGTTGACCAAGAAGATAATCTGTTGAAGTCGTTGTAGATGTTTTAACATAAAATGGAAGATACTCTTGAGGATAGTATAATATACCCAAAGAGTTAGTCACCACACGTGATGAACCTAAAAATAATTAATCATAAATTTTAGCATTACGAAATGTGAGAAAGATGAACGGCAGAAAGATGGTCTGTTGGTTACTTCCTTTGACTTTGCTCGATCCATGATTTTTAGTGAAATTTTGAAACGTGTGCAGCTCTTGATGTTTTTACATTATTCAAATGAGTAAGATGTCTAGGAGAATATTTCAGTAAGTAATTCAGAAATCGAGAATGTCTAGCATCTGAATAATAGATCTTTTTACAAAACAGTACGATTCCGAAATCAAAGTATGGCGAACATATTATTTAGAAGAAATATTGCTATAGAGAGAAACAGCAGATGTCAACAAATATCATGATGAGGCATGTGTTACTTTTTGCAAGTGATTGATTGTGAGTGCTGTAATGATGAGAGTACGTTGATGATGAGTCAAATTTTAGATGCCAACGTTGTGTCATGAATGGTGGTGCCATATTAACAATAAAATCGAGTGGAGCATTGTTAACTTGTGACACCGATCCATTGAAATGCCCATTTAATGTTAATTCAGTATGAATCATGATGAGTATCCGGCCAATTATTTGATTAAACTCGAATAAACTATCGGCGTCAACTATTGTTGGTATTGGTATTGATTTTGGACTGGTTATGTATGTACGTAAATTCGTACAAAGATCAAGTAGCTTTTTAAGGAAAGAGGGTGACGTGTCAGGCAATGAAACGGACATAAATGTCATCAAATGTCTAGTTAATGAAAATATTGAAATAGACTAGACTAGAATAGAGTTTTAATTTTCATACCGAAGTAGATGATATGTTTGATAAGTGATTAGTTTTGACCGCGAAGATAATTGAATCAATAAAGAAATGTAGTCATCGAGATACACATTGCCTGGTTCAGGATAGAAAACTTGATATTTGAATAGATGTGTTGAAATCTAGACAATGAAACTATCTTTTCATTTTCTGAAGTTCTTCGACAAAATTTTGCTTGCACGAATAGGAATTCTAGAATGGTGTTTAGTTAAGTTGCACTCCTCTTTCAAAAATCAATGCATTTTAAAATAGTTTCGATACTTTTAAGACCTTAATGCAAAAATTTAATACTAACCGTTGAATAGATTTTCTGTGAGAAATCAATTGCTTTAGCATAGAGTAATTCTTTATCAATATAATTTAAGATTAACCGATAATAATGAATTATACTAATCAGAAATGATGTTTGAGTGAGACCAACTAAATTAAACCGTGGATTATAAAGATCATTTAAAAGATAGAAATCATTTTCATAGATTATTAAATATTGACTTGCTAATTGAAATGCCTTGAGAAAAATAAAACACGCTATTAGAAAATGATAGATTCATTTCAAATATATACTATTTACACTAGAAAAATAATTTTCGTCTAAATCAATGTTCATTTTTAAAGTTAATCTTTCAGTTAGATTCATTGTAGTTAATTCATAACGTTGACTAACGTCAAAGAATGATGAATTGATTTCTAATATAACTTTCTCCCCATGTGGTATACCATTTATTTTCATGTGAATTCTTGAATTAAATATTTCATTAGTAACATAAAATGGATTAAGCAAAATACGAGTTTCTTTATGATCTTAATGAAGAATGAATTTTTTTAGTTCATCGTTTTTTTTCACTGCTGAAATCTCGAACATAAAAATAAATAAATGAAGAAACATCGGATTCGCATCCGATTGCTATGTGTACTGCAAAAAGTGAGTCGATTTATATATGTTGGGAATAATTCTAAGAAAAATTTTTTTTTCAAAAAAATCCCTGTACTCCCCCTCAAGAATGGTCTGGTCAATCACATCTCTCTACTGTGACGACTTATATAGTTGTCTAAAGGAAAGAGAACTTTAAATATATAAACATATTAGTGGAATTTATTAAGAAAGGTCAGTATAAATTTTAATTGTATTTTTATACACCGATATTATCGATATATTACTCTGCTGCCGA